AGGTGAAATCTGAAAGAATGTCTTAGAAGCACCGATGGCTACATGGATTGAAATGTGTGTCTGCATAAGAATAGTATGCTGCTAGTTTACAGTAGCTGCTGCAGCTCTTCATCCTCAGGAGAATCTTCTTTCCAAGAAGTGCAAATGGATTATTTGGGGCACTGCAAAAGTTTGTCCTCTCATTTTGCCAAGTACAGAACTCCAGAACTGGAATTCCTTCTTGTTTTCTAGCTCTTTGGTTTCATCCCACATTGTTGAATACAATTTACCAGGGGTAGAAGTGGCCTCTGGTACCAACTGGATATCTACTGTTGTGCCTTTAAAAACTGAGGCTGTTCAGAATTACTCGGCTGACTATTTCTCAAGGTCTAGAAATATCTGAAATGGAAGGTTTGGACTAATACTTCCTCTAGAATGCGCTATTGGGAGAGGAAAGAAGGGACAGTGTTGTCCAGCTGTAGACACAAGGTTGCTAGCACATTTAGTTTAAGAATAATTTCTGCAAGTGCATTTATAGTTCAGCACATTGACTGTAACTCTTCTGTCTGGCTTCATACAGCCCAGAGTATTTTGTTTTGATTCTGAGTTTTTGTAAGTTTGTATTTTCTGTAATTTGTCAGAATTATTTTATATCCATCTCTTATTTCCAGTATTCCTCTATAAAGCAAGGTGCACATAAAAAACTGAAGTTTCAGGAATCCCATTTGCTATCTGATTTGTGAAAACAGAAATATATTTTTAAAAGTGTCTTTCAGAAAATGCCTTTTCTATAGGGGACAGAAGTAATAGAGCTACAGCTGATACATTTTCCCTTCCATTCTAAAATAGCAGCAGCTGCATTTCATTGAAAAGCTTTAATGTTGATTTTCCAGCAGTTGGTACTTGCTGTCTGGGAATTTTGAGGTTTCAGTTTTAGCCTTTACTTTTAAAAAAGTATACAGAAACAGCTCTGTTACTGGCTTTCACTGGCTGATAAACCTTGTGGCCCATTGGGATTTTCTGCTATTTCCCTGATTGAAATGTAAGATGTACACTTAATTAAGGAAAATATCATGACTTCTATCATTATATTGCAATGTTCTTCAAAGCATGTTTTGTCTCCGAAATGAAGGGACCATTCCTTATTCTGTTTTCTCTTAGTGCTCTGATTTTTCAGCACTGTGGTTGGTAGTAAGGTGGGGGCATTGATTAAAATCTAAGTGAAGAAATTTAGATTCTACTGACCATGTGTGTTTCTGTATCTGCTCTCAAAAATAAAATAATTTTCTCTTATACATTTAAACTATCAAGAGTCTGAAAGGTTTAAAAAAGAATCAAATGCAGGAGAAAAAAGATGTTCTGAGCCAACAACAGCTGTTACACTCCATTTACTCCTTTATTTGATCAGAGAAAGTTGTTTAGCTACAGTGTACATATTATAAGCATATAATATGTGCACTGTTTATAAACAATTTTATATAATTAATGTGTGTGTGCGCATGTGTCTTTTAATGACCCCATAATCCCTTGCATCAGGGTAGAGTTGGGGCAACTGAAATGGGTCTGTAAAATGAAGACCAGATTGTTGGGAGCAATATGCTGACTCTAAACCGCTTAGAGAGGGCTGTAAAGCACTGTAAAACGGTATATAAGTCTAAGTGCTATTGCTCAATGTCAGAAAAAATATCCCTAGTTTCTGGTTGAACAGAAGAATAAAGTGTAAAACTTCAGATCAACTGAATCTGAAAGGGGAAACAAGAATACTGTAACAATATTGCCCAAAGCAATATTGCCCAAATGCCTTTAACTTCCAAATTATTCCATCTTGAAGGCAAAGCTGAATTACACTGTCTATTGTTTAGAAGATTATATTTGCTGTGGTTTGTTCTGGATTATCTTTGTTGGGGTTTGTTTTGCCTGTTCCAAACCTGTGAAAACTCAGGTTAATACTAATCTTTAATTATTACTCATAGGAAAGACTTGTTAATCTCCAGATATAATGTGAATTCAGGTTGTTCAATGTAAGATAAATTGCAGTGAATCATTTGGGAGAAAATTCTTAACCAGACTCATGACTATTGCACATTGTTTGCAGTACATTCCTATACTGCAAATGTGAATTGTAACAGTTATCTACATACTATACTAAAACTCTCATGATCTTTAAGTGTCCAATATAGTGCATTTTAGGGCAGCAATATTTGAATGACCTCAAATGCAGAACGTGTCCAAAATCCAGGACCCACAACTCCCAAAGGAATGAAATTCGGGGACGTTGTGGCGGCTTCATACTATTGGCTGCTGTTAGGGTTCACATGATTTTCATTTTCAACTTTCCATGACAATTTCCAAACCAGTTTTGCAATCCCACCCAACTTGTCTGCTGGAAGGGGAAGGGGAAGGGAAAGAAGGGCCAAATAAAGAAGGAACCCCCAGTTCACTTTCCCTGACCTGCATTGCCCCCTCCGCACCTTCTCTGATTCATACAGCATCTCTTGTGTTTGTCTGTGCACCCTGATGCATGTTGTGCTCCAATGTGGTTTCCCTGACTTGTATGGCACCTCATAGGCACCCCCATGCAGCTTTTCCGCCCCCACAACTCTTCCCTGGGCTGCATAACACCTCTTGTGCACTCCAGGCACTCTTCCTGACCCATGCAGCCCCTTCAACATTTGCATTGCCCCAAATGCTGTCTCTTAACATGTACAGCACCTCTTGAAAAATCCTAAGCATCCCCAGGCAACCTTCCCAAACCACACCATCCCATGTTGTACCATTTTCAACTGGTGCAGCACCTCTCACACACCCCTTTGTCCCCCCATGCATTTTTCTTGACTGCCTCCTGTGTGCCATATTTGATTTGAATGGCATCTTTTATCCTCGTGACCTCAACGCATCCTTTGAGAGTCCAGCAATCTGAAAAATAAAATATGCACAAAGGCAACAAGTTGCAATTTTGTACTAAGTAATTTAGATCTGTACCAAAACATATTAAATGCATGTTAGATGCAACTAAGCCCATTTAGGTCGAGTATCATTATGTAACATGTTATTCTTCACACAATAATATTTTCTTGACATACTAAATGTGAAATATTGGGTACATTTCTGTTTACAGAAGGTGAGTATCCAAGCCTGAGAACAATAACTGCTTTTGCTTTGCAGGACATGAAAGAAATGAAGAAAGAAGCTCCTTTATCTTCTAGCATTTATGCAGAAACACGTCAGGTGTTTGAAAGGTCACCAAAGGCAACAAAAGATCATAGAATCATAGACCTTGGAAGTTTTCTAGTACACACACACACACACACACACCTAAGGCAGGAGTCCTTATACCATTCCGGACAAATGGATATTCAATATTTTCTTGAAAACCTCCAGCAATGGATCAAGCAGAATTCTGTCAGGCAAGCTGTTTCATTGATTAATTGCTCTCACTGCCAGGTCATGAGTTTCCACCTGTTACTTCCTGTCCTGCCATCTGGTACTTTGGAGAATAAGTAAACCACCTCATCTCTATGACAGCCTCTCAAGTACTGGAAGACAGCTACCATGTCACCCCTAATCCTCTTCATTAGACTAAATATACCTAGTTCCCTTAACTAGGACACCTAGATCCCTTTGAGAGTTGAGCCAAGTACTGCCTATATCATGGGTGTCAAACTCGCTGCGTCACATTGCCATCACATGACCTTTCGTGATGTTTTTCCCATTCACGGAGCTGGGGTGAGCATGGCCTGTGCGTGACACATCCAGCCCACAGGCTGCCAGTTTGACACCCCTGGTAATATTCTCTGCATCAAAAGCAGCTCTTGGAGCATTCATTGAACAAAGATTTATATAAAATGATCTGGCTGCTATTATAAACACTGCTGGAAAACACTGTGGACTCTAGCCAATTGATGGTTCATGCCTGATCCCCAGCAGCAGATCTGAGCGTGCTCATTCTTCTCCCATGTAATTACTAGTTATATGCTTTGCTTTTCCTTCCTGAAAGAAGTCCGCTGCAATTGATTTTAGTTTGCAAGAAAGGAATCTGGCTCTGGGTATTGATAAAAGATTATAGGAGTTTTCACCAATTTCTTCTTAATAAGCCCATACATTTAACTTACTCTCAGAACTGTCCAAATCTGAATACAGGATTCTAAGTGGAGATGCAGACTGACCACTGCAATGTTGAGTAAAACTATCACTTCCTGTCATCTGCATGTTAGCTCTCTTGGTTGTAGCCCAAGACTGCATTGGCTGTTTTGGCAGCTGTAGCATACTGTTGGCTAATACTTCATTTGTGGCCTGTCAGGACTCTCGATATTTCTCAAAAGTACTATCAACTCAGGTATAAAACCTTGTATTTGTCACCACTGAACACTTCTTGTTGAATCCAGCGCAATATTCAAGCCTATCAAGATCCTTTTGAATCTTGATTCTGTCTTCTGAGGTGTTAGGGATGCCAAACCCCAGCATGGTATCATCTGCAAATTTGCTGATATCTCTTTTATGACATTATCTAAGTTATTTATAAAAAGGGTGAAGTGCATTTGGTCCAAAAACAGAAGCCTGAGATATATTTCCCCAGGTAGATATACATCCATTAAACACCATGTGTTGCGTATAGTCATTCATCCAACAATGAAACTCTTTGGCAGTCCATTCCATATAGCTCCACTTTCTGAAGGAAGTGGCTGTGGTCAACTTAATCCAATGCCTAACCCAAGCCTAAATATGTGCTATCCATAGCATTTACTTGGTTTATTTTCTTTAAAAAAGAGCAGTTAAGGTTGGCCTTAAATAACCTGTTTTTAACAAACACAAGCTGGCTTTTAGTGATCACTTTGTTTCTAAGTGTTTGCAAAGCCCCTGCTTGATTGTTTCGTGTATTGAGGTCAAGCTGATATATGTGTATTTTCCTTAGGTCTGCTTGACTTCCCGTTTGACTTGTGTTTACTTAATCAGGACATAAAGAACTCTTGAAAGTTTAAAAAAAAAAACACCCAACAATCTGGGTGTGGAGAATGACAAAGTTATTTCTACAGAGGCTGGAGATAGGAGAAGTTCCTTCCTTTCCAGAAGCATAACAGCAGAGAGGATCAGGCTGTTTCAATTGCAAATATTTCCTCAAGCTGATAGGTATGTGAAGAACTATTTAAATGGATTTTGAGTGTTTAGGCTTTTCTGTTGCACACTGATTATTATGCTGAATGCAGAGAATGACTTACAATGTCAACTGCATTAAAACTTGCTATCTTGAAAAGGATGGTATGAACAGTTTTGTCAAATTTTGGCTTTTTCCAACTCTGTAATTGCAACTAAAATAAGATTTTAAAAGTAAAGTGTTAAATGCACTAATATTCAGGATTATGGACTTAACTTTTAAGAAAGTGCAGAAGCATCTCTGTAATTATTTGTCTTATTTGTATGCATCTGATTGGTTAGGTGCAGGTGTCCAAATGAGGCATCAAAAACTTTGGGCCGGTGAGTAAACATGCACATTGATTGATTTTTCTGTGCTGCAGCCTTCACCTACTCGTCTCCATGTGTAAACTGGCTAGAAAGGAACTCAATTTAAGGAACCCATTTCTGGATTTTACCTTCTTCCTCTCTTTTGGCTACAGCGATGGCCAGATGTTCTGTCTGGACCATAGTCAATATGATCCCCGATTGATAATTCCCCTGCTTCTTTTTCCTTGGAAGCCAGAAAAATCAAGTGGTATTTGCTTTTTCTTTAGTGAGCAAGGCTTCTGAAGACAAAACAACAATTTTACAGTTCTTTTTACCACTTGCAGCTACTTTAGAGTAGAGCAGCATAAGAATATCAATCTTTTTTTTAAAGGCTGTGTGTGTGTGTGTGTGTGTGTAAATTTTTTTTTTTAATTTGATTTATATGCCGCCCTTCTCCGGAGACTCAGGGCGGCTTACAATGTGCTAAGCAATAGCCTTCATTCTTTTGTATATTTATACAAAGTCAGCTTATTGCCCCCACAACTGGGTCCTCAATTTACCTACCTTAGAAAGGATGGAAGGCTGAGTCAACCTTGAGCCTTGGCGAGATTCGAATCTGCAGTAATTGCAGGCATCTGGTCTTAATAACCAGCTTAATAACAGGGTGCCTTAGACCACTGTACTACCAAGGCTCTTCCACTGTACTACCAAGGCTCTTGGTAGTACAGTAGTACAATGTGGCAGAACCCTGTCAAGTTTCAAATAGTTAAAGGAAAAGGGGGAAGAGGCCAGGTTTTCACAGTTCCACCAGAGACTGCATTTAAAAAAAGAAACCAAAAGCCCATATCAAAAATCCAGCCTTTCACAACAGGCACCCCAGCTACCCTGGACAAAATGGCCCTTGAAGGCAGAGATCCATGGAAGGGGGCCTGGCCCATCAGAGCACATGCCAACCAACTGAAGCAAAGGCATCTGTGTAGGATGGAATGAACGACAGGCGACAGAGTGTAGACTGCCTTGCTCCTTCCAGAATAGAGGGAAAAACACTACTTTTGATGCAGAGCCAGAAAACTCAGGTGGTGGTTCCCTTCCCAACAGCTTGGGAAGGGGCTGAGGATGCAGTCAATCATTCCTGTTCCCTCCCAAACTGGGGAAAGTGCCCATTGTTGTGCCTGGGCAAGTGGGAAGTAGGGATCAGCCTTATTACAAATAAGCAAAATAGTGCTAAAGAAATGAATGTTGTTTTTTACAATCCAGGACATTAAAACTATAGTTTTAAAGAAGATGAGTAATTTATTGTTGAATTTAGTTGATCTCAGATATTTATTTTGTCATGTTTTATGGACTCATTTGATCATCTGTCTACGGTTTGGGAAATAAATAATACATGTCTATTGTTACCTCTTAACTACTACTAATGTTGAGTATTTTTGCTTTTGCAGGTTTCATTGTTCTGCTGAATCTGCAGTTTGGTAGGACTCTTTTACTTTTGTTTGTTAGTTGAGGAGATCAGTTCAAAAAATCTTAAGCAGCCTGTCTTAGCATGATCAGAAGCAGAATTTAAAAAGATACAGTAAAAGTAATGAATGTTTTAGAAACAAAGCACACCTAGAGTTAAGCCTGCATATACTTTCTTAAATACTGTTTCTATGTGAGAGCAAGAGAGACTGAAATTAGTTAGAATCCCTATTTAAAACATACATCAAATTTGCCTCCTTAACTATAGATTTTCCAATTCTCCTCAACCAAATAATTACATTCTAATGATATGATTCTTTTGTGCTATATTCCAAAGGAACATAGAATTCATGCAAATCTCTAATAGAGCAAACTTACTTCTTTACAGGAGGAAGTACAGACACTAATCAGCATTAAGAGGAATACAGAGGACAGTTTCCTATTTAGACTAATTTACTATGTTGAAACTCAGCTTTTCCCCAAACTACAATGGTTTTAATAATGGCCTCCTGATTCTGACTGATTTCTTTCTTTCACTCTCTTCTTTCTTCCTGATGACTTCTGAAATCTCTTGATGATGTTCTCCAATTCTCTGTAGTTATATATTCAGATTTCCCTCAAAATCAACTTGATGACACAATTTTAAATTCAGTGGTTAGTTCTTCCCTTGACAATTTCATGTTTTAGTTTCTGAGTTTTATCCCATTGGATTTTCTCTCATATTTGCTTTAAGGCAAATTCTTTCAGCAGAATAATTTTTCCCTCATATAATTAAGACCTGAATAATTCTACAATGTTTTATCAGTTGCCTTACACATAATTTAGAGCAGCAATCCTTATTGATAAATAGTTTCAGGCTTGCCTCCGTTCAAAGCTCAAGAAAGGAAAACCCCAACTCCAGGTTTGTAGAGAAAGGTACTTTTACTGAGTATGAACTGAATGCAGTGAAAGAAAAGCAATGTCTGAGGCAATAGGCGCAAAAATTACATATTGAAAGCATCCCCCAAATTCGTCCCCCCCCCAGTCCCAAGGCAAATATCCAATCCACATCTCTTCAAGGTGTCATGTGGGATACTTCTTTAGGCGGCCCCATCTATCTGATATGCCGGAACGGTTGACCTTGGCAGTTTTCTCTGCAGCTGCTAAAAAGCAAGAATTTTTCTCCCTTTTTCGAGACATCTCCACCAGCTCACTTCCCCCCGTCCCAAATACCATCGATACCTCCCCCCCTCCCATTACAATGGCAGCCGAAAGCAAGCAAGCAGCATGAGGCTGACAAATAGTATATAAATGCTGACTAGTGTCTCTATTCTCCTACTGGTTATTCTAGATGGAATAAAAAATGCTATTCTGTTATCATATACTCTTAAATCTTGTTTTCTGATGATTGTTGTCAGAGAAGATAGATGATGGAAAAAGTTCATATGCATGACTGAGTCATATATAGAGTTTTTCTCGATACTTTGATCTATGTCAACTGACAGCGCAAAGAATAATTTAAAAATGGGTTATAATGAAAAGGTCCAGAAATTTTGTTAAATTTTGGCTTTTTCCAGCTCTGTAATTGCAACTAAAACAAGACATTAAAAGTAAAGCATTAAATCCACTAATATTCCAGAAAGAATGCACAGCAATATTGAAGCTTGTAATCTCTGCCTTCCCTGTAATGTTCCTACTTTTCCCAAAATATTCCTGGTTCTTAGCTGAAGTTGCTAATGTCTCATTTATGAAAAAAGTCACTTATCTTATAATGTCACTGTTTCATACAACAAGCCACTTAACTTAGAAAAACTCATTATTTCAGAAATCTTTTAATTTGACTCAATTTAATTGTATAAATGAGTCAGTACTGCTTTCAAAGGTCAAGTGTGCATATGTGCATACTTTACATTTTTTATACTGTGTTTCCCCAAAAATAAGACCCTGTCTTATATTTTTTTGAACCCCAAGATATGCGCTTGGCCTTATTCGGCTTATTATCAGGGGATGTCTTATTTTGGGGGAAACAGGGTTGTTTACCATTTACTACTATTCTAAATACAGTGGATTTGTGTTTATATATCTGGGAAGAAGGCAAATGTTATGGTGAAGATAAACTGCATGCAGGTTTAGCCATTTGTAATATCATCTCTTTTTAGGTTCTACCTACAAACTTGTCTGTTATGTCACCAACTGGGCTCAGTACAGGAAAGAACCAGCCACGTTCACCCCAGATAACATAGATCCATTTCTGTGCACCCACTTGATTTTTGCTTTTGCGGATATGGACAACAATCAAATTAGAACTAGAGAATGGAATGATGTTACACTTTACAGAAAACTCAATGCCCTAAAGAACAGGCAAGTAATTTTCTGAAAAAATATATTTGTGTAACAATAATATTGCCTTTATCAGTAAAGATGACAGCATCAAACCAGATAAAACAAAAAAAAGCTCTTAATTCAGACCTTATGGCTCATCATTTAAGTTATATATTCTGGACAGTTAGTTATTGTTAATATTGTCAAATGGTCATAATCCCAGTGCCTAGGACAGATATAAAATAGGTAGGGCAGGCTATGTCATGTATATGAATGAGATCCCTTTCCCCTTCTCAGTGCTGAGAGTATTGGTATTTTTCTTTATTTTTCAAATTATTTTAAGGATATTATAAGAGCTTTCTCTACAGTTTTGTCTTCCTAGCTTAGCAGGCTCTTTTGATACACAGGTCCATTAGGGATCCCACTCTGGAGCAAGATGATTCACAACCAACTTTACATAGACCAATTGTATGTTTTATGTTTTCTGGAGGAAAGAACATTGGATGTTGCTTGTAGTGGATATATTTCCTAGGGATCAAACCAATGTATGCAAATAACTCTCTTTTTTTGCAGATATATCCCTAGTATATATCCCATAAAATGGAATGTCTTAAGTTAAAAGTCAATGGTTCTCTGCTCTCTTTCTCTCTTTTACCATTAGGAAAATGCAAATGTTAGTTATAAGTGTTTATATATATCTTTAGCCTGTTACAAACATAACCAGCCAGCCAGAGAGTTTTGCTTGTTGAGTGTGAGATAGATAGACCTGAAGTTCTTTCATCCAGGAGAAAATAATAATTTAAAGAATCATAGTAAATCATAATCTAACTAAAATAATACCAGCATAAGCCTTGAGTTTATAAAATTTGTTTGAGAAATCCAAATTATATTGGAAATATCAATGAGAAAGAGAAAGGGGAAATAGTGTTCTCTATCTCTATTGGAACTGCCCGAGAAGCCAAGAATGTAAAAGCTTTTTATGTCCTGGTCTATCATAATCTCTACTGTGTCAATAAAACCTTTGCACAAAATTTTCGTCAAAGCGATAGCAATAGCACAGACTTATATACCGCTTCACAGTGCTTTAGAGTCCCTCTAAGTGGTTTACAGACTCAGCATATTACCTCCCACAATCTGGGTCCTCATTTTACCTACCTTGGAAGGCTGAGTCAATCTTGAGCTGGTGAGAATCGAACTGCCAAACTGCAGGCAGCCAGAAGTCAGCAGAAGTAGCCTGAAGTACTGCATTCTAATTACTGTGCCACCAGGGCTCAAAGGCTATTAGCTTATGGTACACATATAAAAGGAAATAGTTGATGGGAATCTTGGGGTAATTTTTCAAGACATAGATTATTTTGTTGATTGTCAATATACATAGAACATTTATATTATTTTTCTTGCTTTCCAGAAATAGCAATTTACTCACACTGCTGGCTGTTGGAGGAGGAAATTTTAATAACCAAAAGTAAGACTTTTCTCCTAAACTTTTTCACTAAAAGAGGTCATATATTTGTAATAATGTGATTTTTAATCTGGTCTAAAGGAGATAGGAAGGGATGGAGATTCCATTTCTGCAGCTGGGAAGGAATTCTGCTGGCAAAAAAGTGATGGAAACCACATTTACATACACAGAAAGTTCTATGGGGAAGTCAAACGAACAATGTTTACTGCTCAGTCTAAAGAAAGTACCTCAATTTCCCTATTTCTCCTATAAAGTTTGGATTTTGCTTTTCAACCTGAAGGCTTCACAGCTAATTTTCTACACCATTGCTTTCATTAGTGGAAACAAACAAAACAAAACAAGCTGAAAACTCTAACAGAATCACACTTCTCACTTCTTGCCTTGGCCAGTTTAAGCTAGCTTGGAAACAGCAGTGGATCCATGTGTTAACTCCTCCTTTCCTGCAACATTATCCCTATCTCCATGTTTCATTGCTTTGTTGGTAATTTGTAATGTGACATTTAAGGTATGATAGAGGAACTTGAGTAAGAATCTTTCCTTACTTGATTATAATTACAGTATAAAAATGCTGGGATAACTTTTTCCCCCTGCTACCTTAGTCTGTTTCCCAGTCCATGCTTGAATCAGATTTACATGTATTTATCATTCCAGTCTTTTATGTTTTTCCCCTGTCCCAGCACAGATTTTTACCAAGGATATAAGCTCATATGCTTTACACTTTACTTTCCATTCTGTCAATGACTCAGTTGGGTGCTCTTTACTGAGTGGGATCAGCCTGGCATTCATTGGCCATATCTCCTCCTTCTAATCATCAACTCAGAGATGTGGATCAGGTCATTTGTGTGGCAGTGTTGGTTGTACATGGTAAAGGAGAGAAAGACCTATTTGTCTGTTTGTTCTTGCATGGTGTAGCTCTTCTCATTTCTCTGCTGTTATTTACTGTGTTTTTGAACACAATGCTGTTCTAAATTAGCACTGATTCTATGTTGCAAAGGAGCCCAAATGATATCAAGTGTTTGCTAGGCTGTCTTTGGAAGCATCATCAAAATACTTGCATGAAATCTAGCAATCTAGCCATTTATAAAAATTGACCTTTTTACCAAGTCTATCCTCATTCCACATTAAGGAGAGTGAATGGTAGATATTTTTCACTAACTGATGGTATTTTGCAGAAGGAGAAGGAAATAAAATTGGGATATCCCCCAATCTCTGTCTTTAATATGCCTTATACACAGTAAACATAAAGAGCACTGTTTTCCAGCATTTTCCAGGATAGAGACCACTAGTAGGAGCAGAAATCTTATGCAGGTATAGTCTTGCAGTTGACTGAAGGATTGGTGGATAATACTTTAATGAAGCCATGAGGAAGGACTTTCAGACTTGGATAATAAGTCTCAGTTCTTCAAATTCATACATATAATACATGCATACTCATCATCACTTTTAATGAACTGCTAAAGAACAAAGATCTGAACCAGACAATCCCTATCTAGCAGAAAACCACACTGTTCTTTCCAAAGTTTGTACATTGTCACTCTTCTACTATTTCTGTCAGAATTCTGTGAAACACCATCCGCATCACACTTACCAAATAATTCCCCTCCCTATATATAGTATTTGCTCTTCTGACATTTGTTTTGTAACAGGGAACAGTAACAGCATTCTTCTTATACATGTTACACAAACTGCACAACCCCATCTGTATTTTAACATATTCCTAACCTTATCCCTGCATTATCCATGACATTAGACCATGCATCTTCCTCTTTTCTAAATTTCCTTCCTTTATACTCCTATTCCATTCTGAATTACAGAGTTCTATACACCACAGTCATCAATGGGTAGACCTATGAATATTGATCTCCATTGACCATCAAGTCTCTGATCAGCTGAGGCTTTCACACAACACTTTTTAAAAATAAAATAGAATACTGTGTTTCCCCGAAAATAAGACCCTGTCTTATATTTTTTTGAACCCCAAAATAAGCGCTTGGCCTTATTTTTGGGGAGGTCTTATTTTGGGGCGCATGGAGCAAGAAGGGGCTCCTCTTGCCATCTTACCTGATTTCCAGATCTGTCTCCCTAACCCTAACCAGAAGAAATAGCAGAGACTGGCCGCGCATGCGGTTAAATATTTTTGGGTGAGGGGTTATTTTCAGGGGGGCTTATTTTAGCACATGCACTCAAAAGCCCGATTGGGCTTATTATCAGGGGATGTCTTATTTTTGGGGAAACAGGGTAGTTTACCAACTTAAACTGTAATTTGGGGCATGTAGCTTTCCCTGCTAACTCTGAAAATATTTGACTGAACTTGGAAGCAAATGGAGCATTTTCTGTTATTATTTATTAAGGGTGGGTAGGTACTAGATCTTGCCAATTTCCTTGCCGACTATGGTTCATGATGTTCTGTGGAAAAAAAGAGAGGTCCATACCAATGAACATTGAAAATTATGCTGTCCAAAAATAATATATGTCTTCCAGATTTACAACAATGGCATCATCTTCAGAAAATCGCCAGACATTCATCTCATCAGTTATATCTTTTCTCCGGGAGCATGGATTTGATGGTCTGGATCTGGACTGGGAATATCCAGGTTCTAAAGGTAGCCCTCCAGAGGACAAACACCTCTTTACCATTCTGATTCAGGTGAGACACTGAAAGCATAAACTTTTAATTGAAATTTCCATAAAAGAATCTTGTAGGCTGTTTAAATTGTGTGGTTTGATATTCTGCAATGAAAGCCCTTCTTAAATCAACAACAGTAAAACTGCAGTAAAAAATTCTTTTAAAATTAGAATTGTAAATCAATGTCCAATTAAGGTTTGCTATTCAGAATTTTGCTCTTATCACAATGTTGCTCTAGAATCCAGTCCTAGAATACATATTTTATTGATAGAATATACAATAAAAGGACAGCATATTTCTGAGCATGTATGAAGTACCTATGTATTTATAGCTAGCCTCCATTTATTTAGAATGGCAAAATACATAATAAGAGCAAAGATAGGACTGAAGTTCCAACTAAGTTTTTGTATTATTTACAAATATTCTTACACTCTTTCATGACTAACAGTACAATTCTGTGCGTGTCTACGTAGAAATAAGTTTGACTGAATTCAGGGATGCTTATTTTCCAAGTTATGTAAATTAGGTAAGTGCGATAGGATTGGAGCTTAAAGCTACAATCTGGCCTGCATTCTCCTGGGAAGCTGCCTTAGAACCTTCTCTACCCTCCCTCTCATATTGCAAAAGAGATTTCACTATGCCTTTATGATTCCACTATACCTCCAAAGATAGTGAAAAAGGAGTACTGTATGTTGGAGGGTTATTTAGATTTTCTATTCCTTGTTTAAGGGCAAGGAGCTTGTATCAGTTAGTTTTCTTATGGCTGCTGTCAAGGTAAGGGAAAGGAAACAAAATGTGAATGTAGGGGTTGGAATGTGGTAGTCGCTGAAACATTTTCCTTTGCCTGCACTGAGAGAATGATAGCAGTTCTACCACAAAGATTCTTCATATATTGCTCTTTAAATTACCCAATGTAAAAAGAAGATCCATTTAAATAGACTATATGTATATGTGTGTGTGTATACTGTATATACACACACACACACATACAATAATTAAATCATAGGACTATCTAGCTCAATACATATAGTATGTATATACATTATATTTATGTTTGTATCTTAATACACACACACACACACACACACACACACACACAGAGCTACATAGTCCTATGACTTAATGATTGGTGTTTATAAAAAATTTCTAATATGGAGAAGCTTCCTTTGAAACATTTCCTGGTCTCTTGTAAGTGAGAAATAGTAACGACTGCTGCTGCTTCTGTTTCCCTCTGCAGGAACTATCAGCAGGGTTTAGGGGAGAGAGTGAACAAACTGGAAACCCACAGCTCCTGCTTTCAGCAGCTGTATCTGCAAGCAAAACAACCATAGATGCTGCATATGAAGTGCCTGCATTGGGGAAGTAGGTCATGCAATCTAAGAGAAGAGGTCCACTATGAAGTTACAGTGGTGCCTTGGTACTCATTCTTAATTGGTTCTGGGAGGTGCGATGAGTACCAAAAACGATGAGTACCAAACAAATTTTTCTCATAAGGAATAATCTAGTGAGTCACAGGGCAGCCAACACTGACAAGTTCTAGCTTGTGCATTGAGTACCAGGACAATATTTTAATGTCAAAATGCATTGAGTAGCAAATTCAGTGAGTTTCAAAGCAGTTGAATACCAAGGTAAACACTGTTTGGAATATTACCTCTGCAAGATCAGATAACAGACTGTGGGATGATGAGATGTTCTATCTATCCTATCTCTTGGGGCCAGATTGGGAAAAAAGTGATATGGAGTATTTCAGTTAAGGTTTCTGACACCTTTCTAAACAGCATTAACTACATCCTGCTATAGTTTACCATTACATACAGTATGTGTTTATGTTCCAAAATAGCTATTGTTATTTGATCCTTTATACTGGCTGTTTGTTTATTGTTCCTTAATTTTGACTTTTATTTTTAATTTGCATTCAGGAATCTTGATTTTATCAATGTGATGACTTATGATTTCCATGGAAGCTGGGCTCCAGTGACAGGACACAACAGCCCACTGCATCAAGGTTTAGTAGACTATGACCCAGTTTCCTTCTACAATTGTGTAAGAAAAATGGCAACATAAAGATCTGTTATAGCTTTTGTAGTACTCATAGTGGGAATTTGATTAAGCAATATAAACATATGTAGAATACTGATGAAACTCAAGATATTTGATGTATGTACATGTCAAAATCAAAACAAGTTTGAATTGACTATGTCTCAGAAAAGCAGGATGCTAGCTAAAGCTTTATTTTTTTAACCCCTCATGCTAAAATTGCTATATCACTGAAAAAAAGGTAAAAGATATGCATAAGAAGAAATGGAATTCTCTGATACTTTCTAAGTAGAAGGCAGCTTGAGTTGGGTACAGTAATTGAAAAAGGATTAAGCAAGGTCTGGCTGTAACATGATTTGCATCATATAAAAAACCTAGTACTGTAAATAATGGGTAACTTGAATCTGGGCCACAAATTTGTTAATTCATCTATTTGAATTCTCATTTTTTAAAACATAGGAGCATGATATGCAAGGATCACGATGCACTGAGCATGAAGTGCACTGTAACCACTTGAAAGCATTTTTAATCATTAATTCACTTTTTGAAACCACAATCTGATTGATAATCTGGGATTTAGAAAAAGAAAAAGTGTGTTAGCTCAGGGAGAGATAGAAAGGAGGCTGAAACCAATCTTTTAAAAAATTATTTATTTGTAAAAGGCATTTGTTCCAACCATAGCTTCTCCTGTTCTCATTCCCATCAAACACTAAAATTGGGTACTGAAAGATGGGACTATTTATTTGTCCATTTGGTGTGGTTTGCTGTATGATTTGCTGTCGGACTAATAAATGACCATACTGTTCTTGATCTTCCTCTATCCTGCTCTGTACTGTGAACAGACTGTATGTGTACCATGTTTGTTTGTTTGTTTATGTACTGTAGGAATATGCAATGAAATACTGGAATGACAGTGGAGCACCATCTGAAAAACTCATGATGGGGTATCCAACATATGCACGTACTTTTAGACTTTCTAGTACAAATACTAATGTTGGTGCTCCAGCCTCTGGTGGAGGTAGTCCTGGAGTCTACACCAAATATTCTGGTATCCTGGCATATTATGAGGTAAACACCCTTCATTTTATTAAAAATTATAATTTATCTAACTAGATGGCAACCCTTGGTTTTCCTTGGCTAATCTCCAGAAGCTAAGGTTTGGATTGGCTTAGGCTTGGATAGAAGATTTTCAGGAAATCCCAGGGGCCTTTGCTAGGCTGGGAAGTTACTAATTTACTAACTAACTTGCACAAGAAAACAGTGAGAAACCAGCTTCATACTATTATCAAGGTAGACCTAAGGCTGAACTTTCCATAGGTAAGTTTATAAAATGGCCATGGGTAAATTGTTCTCTCTCAGCTTTACTTGCCTTGTGAGTTTGTTCAAAGAATAAACAGAAATAATTCTATGAATGTGTCTCTAAAATACTTGAAAGATAGGGCAAAAATATCAAAACCTAACAATAATAAAATATAATCTTAGCAATATAATTCTGTTCATGTTTATTAGGAGCAATGTCATAATTTAGTGGAATTTACATTTGAGTAAATATTTACAGAACCAAATTGTTTCTGTTTACTGTAATTTAAGTGACCTAAACTGGGATTTCTCTCCCCACTAATGATTAGAACATTTTCTTGGCTATCAATTGAGCCATCTTTTTTCCTATTCTTATACTACAGAGATCTATTTTTAAAGAAACTGCTGTAGGTTAAAATTTGAGCATGCGAATCACAATACTCTTTAATAGCAATTAATTCCAATGGGGAAATATTGTAAAAACAGTTCTGCTTTATTTTGTTCTCTCTCCTGAACTGCTTTGATCCTTTTGACAGGTTTGTGCATTCTTACAAGGAGCTAGCAAAGCATGGATTGAGAAACAGAAGGTTCCATATGCTTTCAAAAATGGAGAATGGGTTGCATATGATAATGAAAAAAGTTTTCAGTTTAAAGTAAGTTGTCATTTTGTGTAATAATTATTGAGTTAAACCTAGTTTAGCCAATTAAATAAAATGACTAACTTCCAATATACAATGTACATGGAAGAAGCAGAAGTTCCATCTGCTTATTAAAGTTATCTTATCATGCTGTTACACAGTATAAATTCGTATCTGGGCCTGATGCCTTTGAATAATACAAAGAATTTTTTGTCAACAAAGTCAGAGCGTTAAGGCAGGGTCGCCATCTCTGGGTTGCAAAAATCCAGACAACTAATAAAGGGCTATAAAATGATAGCAACTGCTTTTTATGGCCATCTAGTGATAGTCAGAATTTTTGCAGCTCAGATACACTAGCCCTATTTAAGTTTCACATAGAACATCTGAACTTTATAACAAAATATAGCATGAAATATTCCTGGTCAAATGTCCAGCCAACTATTTATTCACTCCATGTGTTAGATCTAAATCTAAACATCTTTGTATTCTTATACAATTTAAATATGCTGTTGTTTCTCAGTGAGTCAGTTTTGAACACAGTAACTGGAGCACTCACTTGGTCATCATAGTGGAAGTAGAAGTGATTATAGGGTTTTTTTCTTAATATTATTCATTCAATATAAATTTCCTTCAACTTGGCTAATTCTAAAAGCTGCTGTTTATCTTTGTAGACTGAGTTTTTGAAGAGGAAAGAGTATGGAGGAGCCATGGTCTGGACTCTTGGTCTGGATGACTTCTCTGGTAATTTCTGTGGTCAAGGAATCAACCCCCTTGTGAATAAAATAAAGAGTGTTCTAATGAACTGAGGTAATTTATTAATACTATTGTGTCAATCTTTCCCACTGCTCTTCAGACAGGTTAACTCTCACTTTGATTTTGAGATCATTAAGAAGAGACAGTCCCTGCTCTCAGGTTTAAAATCTAAAAAGATATAAGAGAAGAAAAGGCTGGGGAGGTACCGATTCCTAAAGATAAAATGATTATATAATATCCAGTTATAATGCATGCAGAAATAAATTTTTCAACTTTTTTCATCTGCATTATAGCATTAACAAGAATATTAAAAATAACCAACACTAAACTATCAGAAATAACAACAAATGTTAATAAAAATAGATGACAGTAGGAAGTGAATTCCCAGGGCAGCATTACAAATCATTACAGTATCCACTAAAGTTAGAAGTAGATAAAAGTTTAGCTTTATACTATGGAAAGTATAACACGAAAACCTCAACTGAGAAAAACCATGGTGGGTGGCTGAGGTTAATATTTATGGGTCCATCAGGGAATGGCCAAGATATAGGTAGTCCTTGACATACAACCACAATTGAGCCCAAAATTTCTGTTGTTAAGTGAGAGATTTGTTAAATGAGTTTTGTCCCATTTCTTGCGATAGTTGTTAAGTGAATCACTTAACTATGGCAAGAAATGGGACAAAACTCACTTAACAAGTTGATGACTGTGTGAACACACATCTTTAAGATACTGCCACTTTGCTTTTGAGCAAAAATAAGTTGTGCTTAATATAATTGTAATATAAGCCCCAGAAAAAAATAGCAACCAACAAGACAATTTAGGTATTATAGTGCAAGCAGGCAAAAGGATTGATTCTTTTATGCTTTAGCCCAAACGTTATACCCTTTTCAGAGAAGGTTGCTATTAAACTTTAAAAAATTTGTAAGTCCCACCTCCAGTCTTTTCTGACTTCAGTTATTTTGCCCTGAAATTCCAATTTTTTGTGTATTTGTTTTATAGGCCTCTGCAAGAAGAATGGAGAATCTATCCCATCCTCATCTGTATACAACATCCCTGAACTATTTCTTGATCATAAATACTTCGTAGGATGTAACGCAGAGTGATTTACGTAACTAAATAAGCAGTGTCATATTTTAATACTCAAAATCCCAAATTACTGATGAAAATGTACTGTTGGGAAAATGGTGGTACCTTTCTATGGTTACTTCTGATATCAAATTTATTTTCTGCATTTTATGATAATATTAGCAAAAAATAAATGTGGTGCATGCTTCGTTACCCAACCTGAAAGAAATAGAATAACATTCAGTAGAAGATTAACAAGTCTTATATTCTTCCTGCTCAGATGATATATTTCTTTGGAAAAAAATTAATAAATCCATGATTCAGAATCAGTTTCTAAGTTTCTTTCACTGCAGTAATATGTTTGCAGATTTTGGTTATCAAATACTTTAATAAGTGGATGACTGGATAGAGAGAGGCAGGATTTATGTGGTAAAGATGTTTTCCTAGTGTGGTATATTTTACAAAATTTGTACCAAATTTTGATGAATGGGCAGGGGTTATGGGAGTTACACAATCAACATCTAAAAGACACTAGAATGAGGAAGGCTACTGTAGGATTGAAACTGAAGGTTCTGTTTGGCAAACTATAAATTCTTTCCATTTGGTACCGGTACAAGTGATTCTGTGTACCTTGTAATCTAAATCTGCTAGTTTACAAGACATACAATGGATTCCATTGGAATCATAAGGCTTTCTATGAAACTTCTAAATGAAATCTAATTTTTGGAGAAATCAAGAATATATAAAAGGAAATTTTAAAAAACTTTTTATACAGTGGGGTGCAGAAAAATACTTAACCAACCTGCTACATTAGCAGAGCAATTGTCTGCTATAACAGTAGTATATTATCTCACAAAACTGACTAGAAATTTTAATATGTTTTTTATTACTTATGCGTTTTCTCCCATACTGCAGAGTACAGAAGGTAAAAGACTGTACGATACAAACCTAAATATAATAGCTACAGCTCAGTTCAGGTTGAATGAAAAACATGGTTTCTCCTATAAGAATATAGTATGGAAGTCTTTCCTTGAGTGGGAAATCTCTGTTTCTTGTTCAGTATGAATGAAGTGTATCTTCTCTGCAGCTGTCAGAAAAGAACATTGTGCTAAAATACTTCTAAACATATCATTGCATATATATTACATGAAATTTCCATTCTCAGTCACATGCAGGATATACAATGCAAGAAATGATATCATAAGACTGTATCAGATCATATGGCACATACTTCTAATACCTTTGTGTTTCAAAAAATATTGGCCAGTGGAGTACCAAGACAAAATATTTTCAGTTTTAGGTTTTAATCAATACATGCTTGCTCCCCTAATAATTTCTCCAATTTGGCATGACTTTTGTGAACATTACCATCTTAACTGTCAAACTGACATATAAAAAGAAATTATACTTTGAAAATCTGCATTTCTCTTAAGCATTTCTCTAGCTAAACTATTCAAAACCAAAAACATTTTAACAGTTGTGGCTATTGGCAAAATCCAAACTCCTACATTTGAAGCAACTTCCAAATAGTAAAGGTTTTATACTAAAATAGTAGATTAGGAAAATAGAAAATACCATTAGGAAAATAGAACCATTTAAAAGGCTAACAAAGAAACTGTTTATGAAATAGTATTTATATTGAATCCAAGTAACAAATTAATTAAAATGCTCTAATTCTGTCTAAGGATAAAAAAGTAAATTAGTGGTCTAAGCAAGTAGGAGAGGAAATATCTTCAGCCACAAGAATTAATCACTATAATATATGCTCAGATAGGCCACCAGATTCCGATATTTCTTGAATTCTTTATCTGAAAGCAACTGAAATAAAACAAAATTAAAAAATATTAACTGTATGTAACTGCTGTCCTATTGTATTATTAGTAGTAGTAATCACACAATCACTGTACAAATAATTAAAAAGTATAAATTAATTTGGAAGGTAGTTTGGTTGGCAAGGTATGAATATGGCTTGATATTTTTCTTCTGGAATATTTTATAAATTCCTTGTCTAGGTTGGGAAGGTTCTCCCAATCAAATAATAATCCAGACTGTCCCTCCTTACCTTGGAAAGGAACCTAACACCACAAAATACTTCAGGCAAAGAAATTTTGCAGGAAGAGATATGAGTGATTATCAGCTTTTAAAAGATAACTACAATACATACATTATGATATAAACTTATACTATTATAGCATTATAATTTTTGTACTAGAGCTAGCATGGTATAATAATAATGTGCTAAATTGGGGGTCAGTTCTTGTTAAACTGTGATGTTGGGCACTCACTAGCAATAGCACTTACACTTATATACCGCTTCACAATGCTTTACATCCCTTTCTAAGTATCAGCATATTGCCCCCAACAATCTGGGTCCTCATTTTACTGACCTCGGAAGGATGGAAGGCTGAGTCAACCTTGAGCCGGTGAGAATCAAACTGCCAAACTGCAGTCAGCCGGCAGTCAGCAGAAGTAGCCTGCAGTACTGCATTCTAACCACTGCGCCACCACTACCTTTCAGCACTAGGCTGAAGTTGAAAAGTATCCCAGTAGAAAGTAATGTCAAACCATTTCTATAATTAAAAGAAATTCTGCAAGCAAATCCCATGGATCTTTCCAAGAAGTTACAGAAGTCAAGACTGTTTCAAAAATACCCCATTAAAAAAGGTGGTTTTTAATCTCATTCGTTAGAGGAGTATCAGTCAGGAACATGACTATGCTCCACAGTATATAACTTGACCTTTCCATTCACTCTTCTCTCTCTCCTTTCTCGTTGGTGAACAACTGCTGTATTCATAAACTTACCTATGGCGCAGCAGAGTCAGCAGAATCTCTATATTTCTTTCCCCAGCATAAATCTATTGGTTATGGTTCAAATATAGGTGGAGGCCTAGAATAAGCATTTTCTTCTATTTAATATTGCCCTGCTGAGTTGTAGGACAAGAGTGTATCAAAGAGCAGCAAAACCATATAAAGGTCTGTAGACAGAACCATTTTAAGGGCCCATCTGAAATGAACAGGCCAAACATTTTTGGAGGGAGAGAGGAAGTTCACAAAACACATAGGGCCACCATTAGTAGGCCCTGGTTTGGTATCCATCAACCTGTTGGTTTCTATGGCAGAAAATAGGCCATCTATAACTAATCTAAAATGTATGTCAACAGACCTTCAAATAACTTGATGCCAAACCATTATAGTCTTTAAATGTTACAATAAGAAACGAATAAAGTAAATACAGTATAATATCCAGACCATCTGTTCCTGCAACAAACAGCTAGTAGCTACAGGCTACCACCATGATGGCGAACCTATGGCACGCATGCCAGAGGTGGCACACAGAACCCTCTCTGTGGGGACTTGCACCGGCGCCAGCTGCTCTTCTGGTTTCCGGTGTGTGCATGTGCGCCAGCCAACTGATCTTCATGTGTGCTGGAGCCCCGGAAACCCGAAGACCAGCTGTTTCTTTTGGGTTTCTGGGGCTCTGGCATACGCATGCACACCGGCCAGCTGGTCTTTGAGTTTTCAGGGCTCCGTTGTGCGTGTACATAAGCGCCCGCACGTTCTGGTTTGAGCACGAAAAGGTTTGCTATCACTGGGCTACCACATGGTTTCTTGTAAATGGTTGCTCAAGGACAAGAAGATACATCAATCTATTTCAAGAAATGAAGCATTTCTGTCATTCGAAACTATTAACATTCTTAACCCCAAATTTCACACCTCAGCTCTGAAAGTTCTTCTTTGTGGCATTGGAACCAAAGACCAGTCTGGGGAACCAAACTTCCCTGGCCAGCTGACATGTCTGTGTGGCAATTTGTATGGGTTGTAAGTTCCAGGTCTGAGGAGATAGGAGAGAGAACAGATAAATTCTTCAAAACATGTATTATTTTCTGTTATATACAGGTAGTCCTCAACTTAAAACAGTTTGTTTAGTGACCGTTCGAAGTTACAACAGCACTGAAAAAAATGACATGACCATTTTTCACATTTATGACCGTTGTAGCATCGCCATGGTCATGTGATTTAAATTTGGATGCTTGGCAACTGACTCACATTTATGACCCCGGGACACTGCAATGGTCATAAATATAGTGTTTTAAAATTGAGCTTTCTCTTGAGCATGATGCTCAGGCTAAATTGCTATCTGGACTCGAACCTCTGACTGGGTCTGGTGTTATATTTGCATATGCACACACAAACAGACATACACAGATATGAACTCCAGGATGTTCAACATCCAGACATCAGAATGAAGAAAAGTGCAATGGAAAATTTTCACAGAAACTGTGCACTGTTGGTCTTAATTTGCCAGAAAGGCAGCCACACTTTACAAACCGTCTATGTTTTTCCACTAAGGATTTAGACCAGTAATGAGTATGCATTTCTCCATACCTATTTACTGGCAGGATGCAGAGTTACAATCACACACAGATCCTTTTGCGATTATCTGACAAACAAAGTCAATGGGGAAGCCGGATTCACTTAACAACCATGTTACTAACTTAACAACTGCAATGATTCACCGAACAAATGTGGCAAGAAAAGTTGTAAAATGGGGCAAAACTCACTTAACAAATTTCTCACTTAACAACATACATTTTGGGCTTAATTGTGGTCTTAAGTTGAGGACTACCTATACTGCAGTTTTTATGCTGTATACTTGTGATGGCGAACTTATGGCATGCGTGCCAGAGGTGGCACGCAGAGCCCTCTCTGCTGGCACGTGCGCCATCGTCCCAGGTCAGATCTCTGTGGTATTTCTTTCGTGAATTTCTGTTTCCCTGCAAACGATGAAACAGAAGCTCATGAAAGAAAAAAATCTTGCTGTGCTGCTAGTGTTGGGATGCCCCATCTCCTGCCAGCCAGTTGGCCTTTGGGTCTCTGCTGCGCATGTGTGCATGTCCGCGCAAGCGCATGTCCACCTTTCAGTTTGGGCATGTGCACACATGCAGTTTGGGCACTCAGTGTCTAAAAGGTTCGTCATCACTGCTATATACTATATAACTTAAAATAAACATATCATTGTATATTGTGCTTTTTTAATAGTAGTGCTGGATTGGTTAAACAGTTATAAAAAGTTATAACTTTCCATTCAAAATAGCAATATAATAGTAATAGCACTTAGGCTCATATACCACCCCATAGTGCTTTAGAGCACTCTCTGGATGGTTTACAATGTCAGCATATTGCCCCCAATAAACTGGATCCCATTTTACCAATGAACCGACCTTGGAAGGATGGAATGCTGAGTGAATCTTGAGTGCCTGTCAGGATCAAACTCTAGGGTGGAGGCAGATTTTACCTACATTTGCATTCTAACTTTTGCACCATCAGGGCTCCAAAATAATTTTTATAAGTTGCATAAATCAAAAATAGGGTTTAATTTTTTTTGCTGTAGTATTTCAGTTGTCTTTTTCTTTCTCTTCATTTGATAGCAACAAATAAACACACACTCACATATCTATATCTACCTGTATCTATCTATCTATCTCTCTCTCTCTCTCTCTCTCTCTCTCTCTCTCTATCTATCTATCTATCTATCTATATATGTATGTATGTATGTATGTATGTATGTATGTATGTATGTGTATATATATATATATATATATATATATATATATATATGGAATTGGGTAAAGGTTTAAAACTTTATGATGAAAAAGAATGCATTTTATTAAGCTCTTTAGACAGAAAGGCTCTGAGAATGCAATCTTACATGCAGTCAATTACTAGAAAATTAGTCTCTGTCAATAATTTACAATCAAACGACATTTCAACTTAGTGCAAAAAGTATGCCTCAGATTAGCAAAACAGGTATTTATATTTGGGTTCTGTTATCCCCCTCCCCACCTGCACTGTTTTCAAATGAAAAAAAATCCTACCTGGCTCGTACGACAGTAATTTCACTGTTGTATTGGGATAATTTTTACATACCGTCAAGGTTAAGAAGTATCAGGCTTTCGTTTCAATACAGAAAATTTTGGGAGAGTTACTAGTGTTTGTTAAAATACTTGCTGAAGAGCCCCCCAAACAGCATATGATGGCAATTATGCCACCACATAAATCCAACAAAATCTGTAAGTACAGGAATCCCACTGACACTATGGGAGTGGGGCCATAGTGGAATACATTCAGACAGTCAGACATATTAATGATAGCTAAAGATTGCTTTGTTCCTCCGATATATCCATGACTAACTAAACAGTACAATTTTCAGTTTATGCTCAAATATAAGATTTTCCAGCCTATCCTCCTTAGCACTGAACTTACTTTATTTTTCAGGTTCCATTTCTAATAGCCAGTTTTTAATTTAAGAAATGAAAAACAGTACCCAGGAAAGAGTTCTCTATCTTGAACCTGCTCTAAAAACCGTGGTACATTGCTGAGAAATGGGAAATGAGCAATCTTATGCTTGTGTTCTTTGATCCATATTGACTGATATGTTGTAGGTGCAGGGGTCAAATGCTAGAAAAGAAAGAAAGAATAAAATGAAATTATAAAGAATGTTGTTTGAAGTCCATAAACACTCCAATTAGCTTATAATTTAGACTGAGTGAATAATCTTGATTTTTAACTCTGTCAAACCCCATAAAAATAGAATAATTTGTGAATTAATACAATTAATACATTGTAAATAAACCTGGAATGGTAATTAAAATTCAATTTAATATTTTTGTAAACTTTTGTGCATTAACGATGACTCCAACATACCAGGATTGCAACTGTGCAATCCTGTAAAAAGACATAGTTGCTTTAGTTTCATGTTTCTATTTAGATAGACATTTTAAGGATGTCTGTCTAAATAAATTCAAAATACTGCAGAGTTATATTAGAGATTCCTTTCTAGTTTGATGTGTCTTACTAAAATAATTTAATGTGTGATGAAGTGTTTTGGGTATATACAATTGTCCAACATAGGGTATGAATGTTGCAAGATGGGTGAGGCAATGTCACACAAATAAATAATAATAATAATAATAATTATTTATTGAATTTCTATACCGCCCTTCTCCCGAAGGACTCAGGGCGGTGAACAGAATAAGATTTCATATACATATAATAATTTTTTTTTATACACAGTAAATAATAAATTGAGTCAATTTAGTGTATCTGCTAAGACCTTGGCATAGAATTTAGATGTTTATGCTAGTCCTGCTTGTTGAAACAGAAAGGTCTTCAGGGCACATCGGAAAGTGCGAAGATCTGGGATTATTCGTATTCCAGGGGGTATTTTGTTCCAAAGAGTAGGTGCCCCCACAGAGAAGGAGGCGCTCTCCCTTGGAACTACTAGACGACATTGTTTTAATGATGGTACTATGAGTAGGCCTACTCTGTAAGAGAGTATTGGTTGGTGGGAGGTTATTGGTTGCAGCAGGTGGTCTCGTGTGTACTCAGGTCCTAAGCTTCTTCTCTTTCTGGGGCTTTTCTGAAGTGAATTGAGATAGTTCTGTTTTTTAAAAAATGGTGTTCTTCCTGTCTGTTTGCTCAGACATTATCTGTTTAAACCCTGAGCAAAAGAAACCTTTTATCTTTTCAATTTCATATGTTTAGTAAAGATGCCCCAAAACACTGGGTTTTTAAATTATTGTCTGTGCTACCAGTACTGTGCTATCATGATGAATTTATTTTAATTATTTTATGTCTCTACAGCACAATATTACAGAGTTTCTTTTAAACTTACTTATGGATAAACAGGGATATAAGCATTAGTTTGCTGTGAGCATCTCTGTTCCCTGGCCGATTCCACAATCCAAGTATATCAGTAAATCAAATGTAGTCAGTTTCACAGTAGAAAATGTGACAACACTTAAAGAATATAAGTAATATAAACATTTCTACCTTTACTGTTTTCTTCTAACATGAATTGTGAAAGGTTAAACTTGTCTCTGAGCCACTCTGGTTTGTAATGCTGGCTGTGGTGGAAATATTTTGGCATTCTATTTAAGTTTAAATTTAAATTTTAGAATACAAAGAAGCCCTTCCTTAAATGGAACCCACAGCATAGAAAGTGAATTTCTATACTGTGTATGCAAGGCACATTGGCTGCAAGAGGTATCTGATAAAGGATTTCATCCTGCAGAAAAGAACTCCTACTATAGAGTATATATAAGGAAAATGTTTTTACCTTGTTTATTATTACAAAACGTGGTGTTGTTCTTGCTCCCATGCTGTAACCTTTGGTACTCTGTGGTCTCTGAGCCAAGTTATATATAAGATTGTTCCTCTACATATTAAAACAAATGCTAAAGTTATTCTACACTATAATAATGGGAAAAAATGTTTAGCAGCATATTAGAGCCTGCAAAACTAAGATTTCTACTGAGAAGAAGTTAATAAAAAGTAAATCTTGGGTACTCTCAGAGAAAGCATGAGGAGTATAAAGAAACAGAAAAACAAAATGGGACTTAATTATAATATACAGACAACTAAAAAGTCAATGTTGGAGCTGGGTGGTGAATAATAAAATAAAATAAAATAATAAATAAAATAAAATAATTATAATGTAGTACCCTACCTAAGTTTAACTTTTTCTTAAACAGAATTTTCTCAAAGCAATTGCTCAATTTTCCCCCCAGCTTATTGGAATAATTTGAGCTTTAGAAGAACGGTTGAAGAAATGGTACACTCCTTTTGTTTTACCACTTATTATTTATTAAACCAATTTAGATAGCTGCTCATCTCACAAACAAGAGATTCTGGGTGGCATACAACAGAACTAAAAACATTAATACATACATTGTAAGGTATAAAAAACAAACTAAAACAGAGACGAGCAGACAAAGGGATGTTAAGAATGGTAATGCTATCTCACTAGCTGATTCATCTCCTGGGTTTCCCAGTCCAGCTGGCATAACCAAGTATAGAGGGACCCCACCCCTAGGGAAGGATGATCATGAATCTGTTCAGTCCCACTGCCAACCCAGAGATGGAATCAAGTACTCAGGCAGGGTGGTTGCTATACAGCAGGGAAATTGGTACAACAGTAACAATCCCAATTGATCTCAATTTAATAAGCAGGGTCTTGAAATCCATAAACGATTCTCAGATGACAACTGCCACATCAGCACCCCTGCTCCATGTTGTTAGTTTGTGCCAAACATGAAACCCAGCTGGTAATACCTCTGGAAGGGGGACCATGCCAGCTTGGCTTTCTTATCTATGATCAGAAAGGCCTTATTAAAAACTGACCTGACATTTAAGAGCAACAGCAGAAGTCAGGGCTTCTGACAGTCTGCTACTGGGCATAGGTACTAAAATCAAGGAGCTGGAATGTTAAATATTTGTCCTGTGTTCTCTTGGCATGACCTGCTTGTCTCCCACCATATCTTCCCATGCCCATGCCCATGATAATATTGTAGCCCACACATGTCCCCTCAATGGCCACATTGTTTTCCCTGCCAGATACCCAAATTCCAAAGGCCCAGGACCTCCAATAATAACAAAGAACCCTGAGGTGCTTCAGCTCTGCTGGCTTTCAGCACCCTCAGGCACCCAGCCCCACCTTCCTCCATCAACCCTTTTCTCAGGCTCTCATCCTAAATGGGGAGGCATACAAACAAAATACTTAGCCGACAGACAAAATTGGGAGGAAAATAATCTTCTCCCTCTCTGGAGCTATCAGAAAAAAAGCCTCTGTTTGGGGGTGGTGGGGGAGAGTCAACATCAAATTACACTCTTCTGCTATCAATTCCCCCTAAACCACCACCAATAATCCAAGTCCCAAAATCCTGGTTAGCCTCTCCAAATGGAAAGTCCCATGTAGTTATCTGGTCTGTATGATGAAAGACACTGGCGCAAAGAGATGAAAATAAAACCTGCACCAGGTCCACAAAAGCAGCCAACCAGGCAACAAGCCTAGTGCAGACTCAGTCCATCCTCAACCATCTCCTGATTTCCAGAATTTGTTAACAATAGCAGACGGTCAGAAGTGCACCAAACACAGTGACCCATGGTTCCTGTACCATTTCCCCAGAGTTCTTCCCTACTTTTTAAAAGAACAAAACTTTTTCTGATTTAGGAGACAGGTGAGTTGACCAAAGATGTCTCTTCTTTCCATGACAAAAGAAAAACAATTTTTTCCCCTCTTGATATGGACTGAAACTCAGACAGTGACCATATTTGGATGTCTCTCGGTGGAGGTTTGTAGCTTGCACATTCACTATACAGAATGTTAGGGTTCATTAGTTTAAATAACAGAACTTGTACTCATGGATTTTTGCTGGAAGCAATCATATGAGGTAGGTAGAAATGAAAGACAGTATCAAGCCACAGAGTCATCTTGTGAAAATAATAGATGAATGGGGTTCAACTGTGGTCTCTCAAATCTTTGCAAATATTCTCAAATTATTTATTTTCTAAGACCAGAAACATAGTTTTTATTTATAATACATTCAAATTTTGGAAGCAAAAGTAATCAATATAATCTGAATAGTAAATATCCTTTACTTCAAATTAAAGATCTCTTTGGAGAGAAAATAAAGAAAAATGAAATGGAGCACTGCTTACCTCTGCATGATTATAAGATCCTGGTCCACGATCAGGATCACCTTTAATTGGTGCGAATGCATTACCTAATCGGTCTGGTGCATGATGAAAGGGGAAAATTTTCTTTTCCTGACAGGACCCAAATGAATTTCCGATCTGAACATCTGAAAACCCCAACAGGAGTTTATGTCAGTCAAATGTTTGCATCAACATTTTATAATGTGGTACAAAATTAAGTTTAAAAAATAGCAGAGTGATACCTCTTATCTATTGGACTTACTTTTCAGTGAAGCACAGAATACAGCCAGCCAGTTCATTTCACTTAATTACCAAGTATTTACTTAAAAAACTTAATTAGAAAGGAAAAATATAGTCCTTATTTATTGACTACTTCTCTTGGCGACTATTCAGAGTTACAATGGCACTGTAAAAATAGATTAATGACTTGCAGCCATTGTAACATCCCCATAGTGATGACATGATCTTCATGGTCATGTGATCACGATTTGGGCACTTTGCAACAAAACATTTACAATGGTCACAATGTCCCATGGTCATGTGATTGCCATTTGCAACCTTCATAGCAGGCTTCTAGCAAACAAAATGAATGGAGAAGTTGGCAGGAAGTCACAAACCATGGTCATGTGATGTTTTGTTTAACAACCCACAGTGATTTTCTTAACGAATATAGCCAGAACTGATGCCATAAGTGCAACACAGTCATGTGACATTTCATTTAATGATGATGTCATTTAGTGATAGAGCTGCAGGTCTGAACTGTAGTCAGTAAGTGAGGACTATCCTTAACAGTATTCAGACTTGCATCATTTGTTGTCTCAATCTTATTGCAGCAACATGAAATTTAGCTGATTGACAATTTCATATCTGAGAGAATGTTCTACAGAGTATTGATCTGTTCTACACAGTACTGATACAGTGGGGGTATATAACTATTCGAAAAAGCAACTGGCCTGTATTTACAACCATTTACAGTGTCTTGCATTCATGTGACTGATTTTTGCCAAAACCCGGCATGCACATCCAGTTTCTGGCAAAAATTGCCCATAGCAAACAATGGTTTCAATTAATGACCATGCTGTTTGCTTAATGACCACCACAAAAAAGGTTGTAAAACTGGGTTGGTCACGTGACTCACTTTATAACCATCACAACTTAAGACCAAGTGCCAGGAACAGTTATGACTGTAAGTCAAGGACTATTTGTACAAATGTGTAAACTAGTTTTTTGTTTACCACTCTCACTTTTTGGTGGCAACTGCCTGTTTACATTTCTGCTCTCTACTCTTCAACAACTGGGAGATAGCAAACTCTCCCTTTTTGAAAAATACATAGCAGAGGCTGGGCAATCATTGCTAAGGAATGCTGCAGTTGGAATTTGGAATGCTACAGTAAATGGGGTTTGGATTAGATAACTTCTAACATACATTCCAAAGCCGACTTATTATAATGTTTTTCTGCAGTGACTTAAACCTTCTAACTAACAAGATAGTTGTCTCCGATGGCAATTTATTGATGAGAGACAGGGACACTTCATGGAAGTTTAGAGTACTGTTCTAATTCATTCACTTGTTTCAGGATTAACTCCTAATGTATTAGTTTTGTCCTGGAAAACTTAAAGATTTTTTTTTTGCTATTATCTGTTCTGAAACAAACAATGCTATTTCCCAAGAAAGAAAACATATTGTTAAAGGCCCCATAATGTGACACTGGAATTTGAAACTCTACCGCTAATACATATTTGGCAGGCAGGGGTTACATATCCATCTAATTTTGCTAGTATGTAAATGATTGAATAGAGGAACTATATTCCTTTAGTACTGCGACAGTCCCTTTAGATAGTGTTATTTTAAAAGAAGTCTATATAGAATTATGGGCTTATGTAAATTTGTTCTGGAACCCGAGACAAATAATTTCAGAAATGCCTTTCTCTTCTTTGTAAATCAGCAATAAAAACACAGTAAATTAAATGAAATTAAGAGCTCCCTCCTAAAACCCCAAATCGCTTGACTGAAGTGACTGCCCTGCAATTAGAGCTCTGACTTTAAATTGGCGCTTACTTACCGCTCAGTACCCAATCCGAATCTAGGTAATTTTGGAAATCCAACCGTGTTCGCACCCGCAAGTTAGAACGGCCCAATGTCGGGCTCCACAGCTGAGGCATGGCAATCCCGAAAAACAACGAATCGCAAAAAAACCACCGGATTTTCCTTGATCTCCTGTACACTGCTTGGAGTGTCCAAGCATGGGTATTTATCAGCCAGTTATGACATCATTGAGTTGGAATTTCTTTGGCCACGCCTTCCTCCTTCCGGCTGAGCCTCAGTTTTTTTCCAACTCAGCCAGAGGAAAGACTTATTAGAGTTGGCTCTTCATTTTTGCTTAAAATTCAATATATAATTGGCCCAATTTAAAAATAAATGTAAAAAAACAAAACAAAAAACCGAGCCTCTTTAAAATAGGCTTGGGTGGCTGAGGCAGTGAGAGTGAGCTGTGAGTCAGCGCTGCGTGCTCTGCAAGGCAGGGATAAGATCGCTGTGGAGGCAGTCATTACTCCCTGACTCTCATCAGCAGCTGGGAACGTGAGGAGGTCATTTTTAGCCTCAGAGAGGTCCAAGGGAGAGCGCTGACCACGCGGCCGATAGCCGCCATTTTGTTGGTGGTGGCCATTTTGTTTTGGGCTTACAACGCAGCAAAATACAGATTTAAAGGCAGCTGGGTGAAGATCTGCAATCTGGGAGCCTTTTACATGCAAGTAGACTGTGTTTTCTTCTTGGGATCAGCGTTTTTGTGGCCTGGGAGTCTGTGTAGCTGGCATAGGCTTGATGTGCACAGAGCCTTGCGGCATTATGTCAAGCGGAAAGCCCCCTTTCGACGGACGGAGGCCCTATTTGTGTCATTTCAGCCCACGTCGATGGGGAAGAAAGTTTCACCATCTACCGTTGGTCGTTGGCTCAAGGCATGCATTGCCTTGGCGTATGAACATCAAGCTTGTCCAGTGCCGCGTCGCATCACCACACACTCTACTGTAGCGCGGCCACTTCGGCTGCTTGGGCTACGCAAGCATCCATTTTGGACATCTGCAGAGCTGCGACTTGGACTACTCCTTTGTTGTGGCCCCGCCCTCTGAGCCTGTCCCATCGGAGGAAGAAAGCTCCGAGCATGAGGAAGAGGAGTCAGCCAGGCCTCCCTCTCCAGGCCCCTCCCCTCTGGCATTGTCTCAAGTGCCGGCCGAGGGAGAGGAGACAGCTGATTCGGATCAGAGTGATAAAGAAACATCATTCCTGGACGCACGCCTCCGAAGGCGTGATAAACGTTTGCAGCAGCTTAGGAGGCGTGCTAGGGATTAGAACTGAGTCACTGGACCACATCCCAGAGACTATATAATAGAGGGTGGTGGTCAAGGATTTTTGTGACGAACAAAGCAAACCTTGGATAGTCACTAAAGCCTCGTCCGGAGCTGCTGAGAGAAAGATTTAAAGTGTCGGACATTTGGACTCTTGAGTATTTGTCTTTCTGTTTTACTTTGAAAATAAAGTCACTTGGCAGACGGTGTGTCTATCGCTGCCAAGTGGGAGATAAGAACTGGGTGCGTTCCAAAGTGTTTCCTTAACCCTCAACTGGCTGTGTGTGTGTGTGTGGGTATGGGGACAGATCATCCTTCACCGTTTGTGAGGCACTACAAGTTGGACCAATTCGCATCAGCGGAGGCAGCGTTTGGGAGGCGTGTCTTACAGAGAGTCCTGCCGGCCGAGGGGACCCTGGACCGATCTGCTTCCCTCCCATCTTCAATTTAGCTTGGGTATATCCCATGCTTGGACACTCCAAGCAGTGCACAGGAGATTGAATGTTGGGCTTACCTTGAACGTTCCATCTAGGTGCACTGCTGGAGTGTCCAAATCCCACCCTGGCTTGTGCTAGTCCGGGGTCCAGGAGTGGTCGGTTCTTCCTATTGATGGCGTCTCCCCTGGTTCTGGTTTTGTGGAAAAAAACTGAGGCTCGGCCGGAAGGAGGAAGGCGTGGCCAAAGAAATTCCAACTCAATGATGTCATAACTGGCTGATAAACACCCATGCTTGGACACTCCAGCAGTGCACCTAGATGGAACGTTCAAGGTAAGCCCAACGTTCATTTTCACGTTAGCACATCTCCTCCAAGGAAGAACGCCTTTGAGGGCGACCCGCATCCTTCTCCAGCCGATCCACGGCACTCCACGATGCGGGGGCAAAAACGCTTGTGGCGTGCTCCTTCTAGCCAATCTCCGCCCGACTCACCTGTGAGCTCCCACGCGAGGCGGCGCTGGCTGGCGATCAGCTGCAGGGTTCCGACCTGTTTGGAGTCCGTGTCTTGCCATGGAAACAGAAGAGGGCTGGGTCCCAGATTGGAATACTGAGGCAATATGCCGCTTGTTGTGCTTCGGGACGCAAGGCCTTGAACCGTATCTGCAAAGGCGGGGAGAGAGAAAAATGCTGGGGAGGCTCGTGGCGTAAGGTCTGGCGTCTGGGGCGAGAGCTCAACCAGGCTGCGACGTCTGGGCGACTCCTAGATGTAGCAGCGTGGTTGTCGTGGTTCTTTATTGCCAGCTAATAGTCCGGATTTTGCAGCGCGGTTACGGCTAACCGTACTTTTGCCTGACAGTAGCAACGTGGTAGGCAGGTGGAGTAAAGCCTCGCCCCTATCATTTTCGCAGCAGATTCAATTTTGCCCCATATCTTCGGCGGTGGGGCTCAGCTCTGTTAGTACTGCAAAGAAGCGGACTATGACAAAATGCCACCTGTTTACGCTTCCCTCGCCCTATGGCAGGGATCAGCAACCCGCAGCTCTGGAGCCACATGAGACTCTTCCATCCCTCTACTGCAGCTCTCTGTCACTCACACAACCGCTAAGGTGCTTTCCCCTCCCCCCCCAGGCCAACCATGAATAAATCCAAGAAAAGAGAAAGTTTCAGAAGAAAACAGAACGTTTAATTCAACTACATATGCTAGTTTTGTGGCCGCTCAAGAAATAGTCAGGCACAGGAAGGGTTTGTGGCTCCCGGAGTTTTCTTTTTTGTGGGAAACAGGTCCAAATGGCTCTTTGAGTGTTTAAGGTTGCAGACCCCTGCCCTATGGCAACTAACTCTTAACTCTGCACTTTTGAGGGGGATGGAGGAATATTCTCCATCTTTCTTGGGCGAGGAAAAAGAATGGCTCTAGCTTCTGAAAATAAAAGGCTGGCTGAGCCAACGGAATTATTTTATTAAGGCATCATTATTTTGAAGACCCTAAAATAGTCCATTTATACAATGGACAGTGAGTATTGAAAACGGCTATTCAGATGGTTCGGAAATCTGTAGCTGAGAGAAGGTGAGCAAATAGTGTTTCTTGTTCCTGAACAAAGTTGTTTGGTAGATTGGAATTCCCAATCAGAGACCTCTTTATCCATAAAGCACTGTCTTCTGTAGCATGTGCTTATCCTAAACAATTTGGTTATACACTACTTAAATAAAAGGGTAACATGATAATTAATTAATTCAATCAAGTTGTAGTCTGTCTCAATCACAAAGGTACCTCTAGGTAGTTTACATTTTGGATTAAAAACAGTAGAATAATAATAAAAATGAACAATATTGGATTGCAGATCCAAAAAACAAAACAATCTAGTCCCCGTCATAAGACATATATCCAATATTGATTATAACCCAATCCAACCCAGAGCTCATTGCAAGAGACAGGAATTTAAAGATTTGAGAAAAGAGCATGGTCAGTGCCATGTGGACTTAAGGGAGAAGATCTTCCATGGCACAACAAAGGCCTGATTCCTAGGTCCCATAAGATGTCACTGGACAGAAACAATGGGAGAAAGCAATTCTTATGTCATGAATTTTTGTATAAGTGACAATTGGCATCTTGAACTGCAGTTAAAAGCTCACTGATAGCCAGGGCACAAAGTATAGGTTTTGTATAGTCAAAATGAGAAGTGATCATAACTATTCATGTTAGCTATAGCTTCTGAATAGTTTTCAAGGTTAGCCCTGGATAAATTACGTTAGTGTTCAAATAAGAGATGATTAAGTTATGAGTGCTTGTGAGAAGCTCCCCTCCTTTCACAAAAGATCATATTTAGTACCCACTATGGATTAGTGCAAAAGTTCTCCTGGCCATGGCTGCCATCAGGTCATAGAATTGAGTCCAGGAAGACTTTCAAAATTACACATGAGTTCCAACTGGACGCATGGATCATCCTTGAAAACTAACAATTGTCCTTGAAAATAGAAGGTCTTTCAATCCAAAGCCACTTGGATTTGTGTAAGCCTATTCCTCCCCATCCTGTTCCTTTACATCTCCTGGCACTGGGACAAGATCACCAGAGCATCACCTATGCAAACAGGTGTGAAACATAAAGGTGGATACCATCCAATACTGAGGCTATGATCCATGCTGATAGATGACTTCATTCAGTAGCTCTTGTAGATGTTAAATAAAAGTGGGAGAGTCTTGAGTCTTGTGGGACCCTGCAGAAGAAGAACCTCAAGCTTGATCCTTCCTCCCAAAACTAACCCTAAAGGAAAGAGGAGGATATTGCAATAGTTTTCCCATTCCCAGTCTCTGGAGTTGATTTACAATGATACTGAAAGCTGAAGAGAGATTTAGCAGGTCTAGAAGAGCTGCACCATATTTATTACAACCCCGCCAAATGTCACCCAGAAGCATAAACAGTGACAGCATTGTTCATGGGCCTAAAGCCTGATTAAAAATAACCTGAGTAATCTACTTTCTCAGGCCTGTTTATGTTTTTATCTTTGTTAGTATATGACTATGCATGTGTTATATCTAACTATGTAAGCTCCTCAATTAATGTTTATCTGGCAGATGTTGAAATGTTTATTTCCTAAATATTTCCTTTACTAAAACAGAAAGCCTAACTACAGTTGAATTGGATTTTTCTTTCCCAAATTGATTTTGGTCTGTTGTTTCTTATTTTTTTCTGTACCTGTGTTTTACAAAGCCATTGTTGTCCAACTACAGGTTGTCCTCGATTTAAGACAATTTGTTTAGTGAACATTCAAAGTTAGAATGACACTGAAAAAAATGACTTATGACCTTTTTTTCCACACTTGCAATTGTTGCAGCATCCCCCATGGTCATGTGATCAAAATCCAGATGCTTGGCAATTGACTAATATTTATGACGGTTGCAGTGTCCCAATGTCATGTGAGCATCTTTTGGGACCTTTTGACAAGGTCCCCACTGATTGGAGTGGGGAAGTCAGATTCACTTAACAACTGTGACAAAGGTATAAAATGGAGCAAAACTCACTTAATTGTCTCACTTAGCAACAGACATTTTGGGCTCAGTTATGGTCATAAATTAAGGACTACTTGTACTTCATCTTTGTGTTATCTATAGCAGTGGAAAAAATAATGTATTGGATCTAATTGTGAGGTTTGAGATACTAAGAGAAATGAAACCACTGGGATAAATAAAAGAATTTTAAACAAATCTCATTATTCAATATGTCATATATCTTTTATGAGAAATATTCAAGGGAATTACTTGGATGTTCAAAGGAAGTAATTCTAGCTAAAATAATAAAAGATTTCATAGTAGAAATAGTTACGAGCTTACCTGATTGATGTTCTAGCATGATACAAATTCTGTTTGTGGTGATCTAGAAACTAAATGATAGAAAATTTAATGGGAATAGATCAAAATAATGTCTCCCTGACAACTTTTTTCTCAAGTCATCAGTGGTTATAGAACAACATAATCTTCAAAGTTGACATCATATAGATTATGTAATGATAAGCCTGGATCATTTTGACTGGGAGAATGGGAATGAGATATAAGAGGCATTTACTATTTGGCTTCCTTACCATCATAGCAGTTAATCCCTGGAGGGAGAAATGTGCCTGAGGGTTTGTAAAACTAGAATAAATTGGAGAGTGGAATTACTCACAATCTCACCGTGCCTTCCCTAATAGAATAAGGACACCAATAGGTAAATTGATTGAGGAAGACCTTTCCCCCCTTCTAAATATAGGAAAACTGTGACAGATAAGGTTGGTTTGAGTTAGAATTAGAGTCCACATCAAGGGGTGACATGTAAATCTAGGTTAATCAAACAGTTCAGCCATGCTCTATTAATGTGCTAAAAGGCTTATTATCAGTACTTGAAATGGCTTGTTTAGCTGCCTTTTATATTAACTGACTAGCATGTCACAAACACAGAGGCAAAATGGTGCCTCTCCCAGATAATGAAAAAAATAAAAGCATGACCATATGAAAGCTTTTATTGGCAGAAACAATTACAAACCTGTAATGTCCAGTGGTAACAGAATCAGCAACAGACAACTGGCAGAACCTGGTTCCTTTTTTCCAGTTTAAATCAGTTAAAGCATGCTGGCTGAGGAATTCTGGCAGTTGAAGTCCACACAGCTTAGGTTGCCAAGGTTGAGAAACACTGTTCTAGACTGCTTTTTGAATAGAGGCCTGGCTTACTTTCAAAAATGTGCTAAACTAACATTTACCACAGCCTGCTAAGCACTTGTAAAAGCGTTGGTCATTCATTATGCAGACAAATGTCAGTGCAGAAATCAGCTGTCCAACTTTCCCTGCACTTGAAGCCAAAATAATTTTGGAAGGAACTTCCTGGTTAGCAGGAGTGGGCCTGGAGCAAAAGCTGAGAAATAAATCCCGCACCCAGCCATCCTCCTCCTTACTTCCCAAAAGTAAAGTATGACTCAGTTTTTATAGGAAGAATTTGGTAAATTAGCTGATTCAGATAAAAAGTGTTCTGTAAGTGCCTTCGTGGTGTCCATATAGAACTTTATAGATCAAAATCAGCACTTACTATTGTATTCAGAAACCTATTATTGACAAATGTAGGATCAAAAACATAGGTACAATGTGATACAGTACTAGCAGTAATGCTTGCCAGTAGTTGAGCTGCTGCAATTTATCTCAGTTGCAGCTTTTGAATGATCTTCAAAGGTAGCTCCATGTAAAGAGTCTTGCAATAGTCCAGTGGAGAAGTGATATGAGCAAGGGGTCACTGTTGAGAGATTCCTATCTCTTAGTAACATGGCATTGCTTTCCAGGAATGTCTTCAAGGTTTGAGACAAGTCATTTCCAAACCTAGTTGTTTCTGGATCTGTGTTTTGTTTCATAGAAGCTATGGCCATAATAAATGCCATATTCTTTTATGTGCAAAATATTTCATTGGTTTAGCATTCATATGTAGAGATATATGTTCTATATACAGTAAATAATAAAGGAGTGGAGCTTGGTGCTACAAATGCCATTTGGGGCCCGGCATCTACATTCCCATTGGTGCTACCCCAAACTTCCTTCTTCAATGGAAGATAGAGGGTGATTTTTCTTGTTCTGCTGGATGTGCTTAAAAATCTTTCCACACCTTGGAATTTTGCATGGATAATTTTATTCCACTTTCAGATCCTTATCAGTTTGCATTTGTTGTTTTTAAAAAGCTGGCGGGATAATGGGTTAGCACATTTGTTTCTGGCCTTCCTGATACTTGTGCTTTATATATGTCTTTTCATACCAAATTAATTTTAGCAGACAGAGCTTATATAGAAGCATAATAGGGGTGGGTTCTAAATTTTTTTACAACCGGTTCTGTGGGCGTGGCTTATTTTCTGGTTGTGGCTTAGAGGTCACTTGACTAGGTGGGCATGGCTAGCTGGTCATGTGACCAGGTGGCCATGTCTATGTGTATAGGGACTACTCAGAGGGCTGAAAAGAGTCATTTCTGGAAGGTCCTCGCACTTACGACCCGACTCATTTGTTTGCTTTTAACACTGATCAGCTGTAGAGCGGCCCTTTGAAGCCCCGTGGCAAGAGTTTAAACAGGTTTTTTCCCTCTAGCCATCAGTTGGGACTCGGGAGGCAGCAATAGATTGGGAGTGGGGCAAATAAAGGGTAAGAATAACGTGGGAGGGTGGGGGGGTGGGGGGGAGAACCGGTTCGGTGACGTCATATTGTCACCGCTACCGGCTCGGCCGAACCGGACCGAACCGGGAGGAACCCACCACTGAAGTATAAATATGGGTTTCGTGAGAACACGTAAATCAGAATTGAATTATGTTGATGATCAGTCATTAAGGACCATTTTGTCATCATTTGAAATAGGCTACACTGTATGTGCATTCTCTAGGACTGAGTGCATTTCCCAATGTATTATGGTAGGTAAAAAGCTTAGTGTAGTTATCCACTGTGTGTTTAGTCAGGTCACCACAGTTTATACTTTAATTTCAAAACAACTAATTAGAAAACAATTTGTCCATGTGCTCAAATAGTGGCCAATTCTTCTCTTTAACTTCAATATATTATTATCCCAGTAACATACATTTTTCTCTTACTGATATTCTCTAATATGTTGAAGCAAAAAATGTGCACAAAGGAAGATATTTCCTTTCAATGATACTAAAACAGTTAAGTACAAGAATTACTTGTAAAAAAAATCTCCAGTGTGATAAAATAGCATTTGTTGCAGCATCTAGTTTATATCCATTCTATAAAAGTGATATGATGCTTGTCCTTAAATCAAATTGAATTAATTTGTTGATGTTCCAAAGAAGAGGCAGCTGAATTGTTGAGGGTGATTGTTTACAACTGTAAACAAAATTATTTTGGGAAAAGGTGTGTTTTGAAGAAAAAGCACTCCACCTCACCATCTTCCAGTTAGTAAAAGAACGAACATAGGTTTTGATATATAGAATACCAAAATAAAGGAAGGCAAATCTTTTATTGAAAGTATTAAGACTTTTTTTTGAGACAGCACATTTAATGAACTTTATGAACATTTTTAATACAGTATAATCAAGATGAACTATTTATTTATATAATGAAAGGCCTAGGCATAATGTCAAAAGACTACATACTGCCTGCAGAAATAGGTCAAAATAATGGAAATAGACAATACTTAATAGGAAATGAATAATATTAATCATGAAATAATACAGAACTAATAACTGGTTATATATAATGCTATATTAAGCATGTATAGTATTTAGAAGTAAGCATTTGTTTTTAATTCCTAAAAGAACACCAAAATTGACTTAACCTGTAAGATTCTATTGCTATTTAAAATTGGGGCTTTTTTTTGGCAAATACATGTTCTTATTTATTTAGTTCCTTTTTAATAGCAGCAAGTAGTGGATAATTGCGGTTCTTGCAGAAGGTACCTGAAAAATCATCTTGATCAAGTGTCCAAACCATAACACCTCCCAAATTGTTGTTCTTCGCATACTGAACCTAAAGAAGAGAGAGAGAAAGGAATGAAATAAAATCCCAAACACAATATCCACTCTGTAACAAATATGAGCTTACATGAACTTTTTATCTCACAAACCACACAACAAAGTTTGTCAGTCTTCACTTTGCCTCAAATCTGCAAAAGGGCTTTAATTGTTTCCAAAATTTGAATTTGTTTGTATGTCAGCCATTAGAAGATCAAGAAATAACATTCTGACAGATAACAGTATTAGGGTCGTAAGGGTATCATTTTCAGATATTTTTGTAAGAAAAGAATGTTTTGAATTTGCAAATAGGATTGTGTAGTGCTTTAGCCTCGAAGGTAAAAAGGTGTTTAGGATTGTTCAAGGGAATATACATAACACAAATACACATAACACACCAGTCTGCAATACCTTAAAACATCTAGACTTTTCTTAAGATTCCTTGATTACCTTCTGCAGCAGCAGAGCAATTCTAGGAAAGAATACGTTAAGAAATTACAGACAGGTGCTAGGTGTGTGCCCACATGTACTCACAAGTATCTTTTCCCCTTCAAAGCTACAGCCCTTCAGAGTAATATTTATTTTAATGCTTTGAAATTTTTTATTTGTAAATTACTCTGTGATTCTCCAATGAAGACAGGTTTCTAAAATAAATAAGTAGAAGTCAACATAGGGTACAGTGTATTTTCATTCAAGCATTTACAGTCTAAGTTACACTGTGGATGGTTCATCATGTCACAGCAGTATAATAATACCATGAAAATACCTGCTTCTGTTGTACAGAAAATGATTTTGCTAGGATTTGTATACATTACTTTTTTAGTTTTTTGGAGGTTTGCATCCGGGTAAGTGGACAGAATATAAGCTAAATTTATACATGTAGTAATTCAAGATAAATTGTCTAATCACCTCTTACCACCTCTTTGAAAAGTGGACCATCTTACATTTTGAATATTGTTCTTTGATGAAATAGAAGATGATTGGATTTCTTAATAAATTTTAATTGATTGGCTTGATAAGTAAATTAATAAACATCTTTTTTAAACTGACAGCCAGAGCTGTAATTCTGATGCAGCTAGCTACTGGTAATATGCCCTCTATGGGGATCTGGGAATTTCCAATGATTACTTTGAATAGGTATTTGTTTGTCTGCTTGTGTATCTATCTGAAAATTTATCCTCTGAATAAAATATTTTTTAGTTTATGTATTTATTTTTTATGTATTGTATGTATTTTAAAATTTATTAAATTTATATGCTATCTATCTCATTGTCAAGAGACTCTGGGCAGCTTATAATATCATAAAAGTAAATATAAAACAATTAAAAGCATGATGTAAAGTAGTTAGAACATTAAACTATTAAGCATTAATAATTAAGACATTAAAAGTTAACAAAAATCCAGATAAAAAGAAATGGGGCAGAGATGGGCTCCTAATCTATTATCTGTCTCCAGAATGGGATGCCTCCATTAGGGTCCCAAGCTAGCAGGCAGAGCTTGCAAGAGAAGAGCAGGCAGAACTGTGGGGTGGAGTGAAATAAGTCATCACTTTAGAGTCCTTGCATTGCCACAAGACATCTAAATCCTGTCCCCCTTGAATGCTGTTGTTCTTTAGTGCAGGGCTGCCAAACTCCCGGCCCAGGGGCTGAATGCATCATGTGGTGGCCACACCCACGCCCAGTTTAGCAAAGGGGAAAAAAGTCCCAATACATCACATGACGCCACCGTGATGACATGAGTTTGACACCTCTGGTCTAGTGCCATTTTAGTGCTGGTCATTAGTTGATTAGATTCTGGTATATTTGTTGTTAGTTGTAAAGTTGTGTCAAACCCATTGTGACTCCATGGACAATGTTCCTCCAGGCTTTCCTGTCCTCTACTATCCCCTGGAGTCCATTTAAGCTCACATCTACTACTTCAGTGACTCCATCCAGCCACCTCGTTCTCTGTCATCCCCATCTTCTTTTGCCCCCTAATCCTTCCCAGCATTAGGTACTTCTCCAGTGAGTCCTTCCTTTTCACTAGGTTGCCAAAGTATTTGAGTTTCATCTTTAGGATTTAAGATTCTAGTGTATAGATTTGAATAAATCTTTTATGCTGCAACCTTATGAATGATCCTGATTCTTTGCACCTGACAAAGCCAGGTTTTCAGGCCCTTTCATAAAGCCAAGATGTTGAGAACCGATCTCACTTCAAGGGGCACAATGTTCCAAAAGGTGGAAGCCATAGCACAAAAGTCTTTCCTGGATCCTGCCAGTTACAATTACTTGGTTGATGGGATCCACAGCATGCTCCTTCTGCAAGTGGAGCAGGTTAATTCCATTGGGGTAAGACAGTTCCTCAAATAGACTCGACCCATGTCAAGAAGGGCTTTAAAGGTGATAACCAACATCTTGAATTGGACTCAGAAGCAAGCTGGCAATCAGTGCAATTCATGCATAGTGGTGTTATATGGGCCACTCTAGGGCCCCCCAGAATGGTCTATACTTTTGCATTCTATGCCAGTTGTAGCTTCCAAATGCTCTTTGAGGGTAGCTCCATGTAGAGCACATTGCAGTAGATGACCAGGGCATGAGTGAATGAGTACAGGGTCTCCCAATCCAGGAAAGGGTGCTTAAAATTGCCCTATTGCATAGCAGTGAGATTTTTCTACATTTTTTTGCCTTCTTTTTGAACAAATGAAGTTCAAGCCTTTTCAACCTTGTTGCATACCATTTGTATCACCACAATTAGTACTTAATTAATAAGTAACAAATAATCATGCTACAATACTTGCCTTTATTTGAACGCTTGTTTCATCTTCATAGCCCACCCATTGGTTCCCTTTGTAGGAATAGGGGACACTTTGCTCTTCAATCTTTTCTATTGTGGCACCATGATTAAAACTACAAATCTGTCAAATAAATTAGAAAGGATAAATATTGTGATATCAGTAGATTGTTTGGCTCTCTTATGAACTTAGGTTACCTACATTTGGGGCATTTTTTTTCTACCTGTCTGTCATTTTAGCAAATGCTTTGGATTGCTGATGGATATAAAATGGGTTGATATCTCTAGATCTGAAAAATTGGTATATTATATGTTTAGAATGGGAGATATGCTCCCTTGTATTCAGCTTGTACTATAATGGGTGGGTATCACCACTGATGCTGTTGTCATATGCTCAAGTGATCTCAAATAATTAGACACTGTTTACCAGTTTCAGATGATATGCCATCATCATCTATATGTGCTCTTGTAAAAAGTCAGATATGGATTAAAAATGGGTCAAGTGAGAATTAAAAATGTAAAAGAAAAAGGAAAAACTTGTTTACTTTTGGAAGAGCTCTTTACAGCCATTGCTGCCTGTCCTCCATCTTGGATTCATCTGTAGCTTTTTTTTGTGTGTGTGTGGTTAAGAAAGACTGATCACCATGACCATTCACAGATTATTCCAACTGGATCACTGTAATTTTTTTTAAATGTCTGAAGTAGTATTTAAAAGTGGTTTGGAAGCTTCAATAAATACAGAAGTCTGTACTAATTCTGATTGATCTATGTAGTTGTTACCATTATATACTTTTGAAATAGTTAATATGGCTGCCAATCTCTGTTTAGTTACTTGCACTTTCTTCTAATTCTAGTCCCCAAATAGTTGAAAAAGTCTGATTCAATATCAATCAACCTCCATATTAAAATAATCGGTGGAGGATCGTATTTTCCATCCATAGGAGATGTATATTTTGCATGTACAGAACAAAGGGTCTTCTCTGAGGAACCACCCTTGTTTTAATTATTCAGATTTTATGGATAGTATTTTGGGAATGTCTAATCATTCTCTAATTGTCAATTAATGTTAGCAACTTAAAGCAATGGAACATGGTTCCCAGAACTAGCACATCCTAAAACAGCCCACAGTTGGAAGGAAATGAGTGTCCTAGCACATGAACACCATGTGCAAAAGAACTCTTAGAATGTACATGCTGATCCAGCCTTTCCTGTTTTTTTTTAAAGAGCTGTCATTTTAGTAGCCAATTGATTTTTTCGGAATTCCAGTTGGCTGTTTCTTGTTGCATCATAAAACACAATATTCTTGCTTCCTAAACATCGTGTAGCCTGAGACCTGATTTTTCCTTCTTTTGATCTAACTCAGTGGTGGGTTTCAAATTTTTTTACTCCCGGTTCTGTGGGTGTGGTTTGGTGGGTGTGGCATGGCTTGGTGGGCATGGCCGGGGAAGGATACTGTAAAATCTCCATTCCCTCCCCATTCCAGGGGAAGGTTACTGCAAAATCCCCATTTCCTTCCAATCAGCTGGGACTCGGGAGGCAGAGAATAGATGGGGGCGGGGCCAGTCAGAGGTAGTATTTACTGGTTCTCCAAACTACTCAAAATTTCCGCCACTGGTTCTCCAGAACTGGTCAGAACCTGCTGAAACCCACCTTTGATCTAACTATAGATGAGTATTTCCTCTTCATGTACTGTCTTAATGCAAAAGATTAAAAGAGTTATCAAGCCATCCTTTTTTAATATCTGCTCCTTTTAATGTTCCCTTCTTTGCTTCCTTTAATTTGGAAGCAGTTCTCAAATTGTTTCTCCGTAACAGTTTCCTTTCTCAGTAGAAGTCAGTGTTATAATCAAAATGGAAAATTACACAAATATAAACTTGCTGCATAAATTTATCCTCAGCATGGAGGGACTATAAAAAACAGGACAAGCATAGTAATTGTATGTAAATACAGTACTGTGCACTATAATCCTGCTGGATTCCTATTGATCCTTCACATGAATATATTAGAGTTAGTGTGTGTATGTACTATGTGTGTACATATATAGGATATTGACTGAAAGATAAAACTATAAAAGAACGAAATCTGCTCTCCCAATTGGCAATCTTGCCTCTGTTTCAAGTCACTTGATTTCCCTCCCAGGTTACAGATGATAAAACCTAACCGATTTTACACACCTTGAAGTAATTCTTAAATGGCTTTAAAATAAGGACAGTTATTAATGTTAAAATACTGGGTTAATCATTAGTTATGCTAAGAACAACCTAAACTTGCCTCATTCATAAATTGGGAAGGAGATGAAGGTAAGATTCAAGGGGATACAGCAGAAAAAGTATGTTGTCATGATACCATGCTTAGGTGCAAGTAGGAAAACCACTAAAATGATTTGTACCTCATAATATGCTAGGATTCCTGCTGTTTTTGTGAATGGGCCAGCTAGCCCAGGGCCAGAGGCGGGAGCTCCAAGCCCAGTCTGTGCAGAAGAAAGAGTGAAAGTGTGTCCATAGGTAGGAATTCCCATGATGATTTTCGAATTAGGGGCACCTTTGGTCTTCAAATATCTCACAGCATAGTCCTGAAAAAGAAGATATAATTATTCACGATATGCTTTAGATAGTGTCAGCCACACATGGTAGACTACATCCATAAATCAACTCCAGAGGAAGACTAGGACTATACAGGTAATCCTCATTTAGTGACGATCATTGGACCTGTCAACTCAGTTGTTAAACAAAATGGTCACTAAGTGAAACCACAGCTGTGCTTTGATCTTTCTTCAGTTTTCGTTTGCTTTAACTGAGGTTGTAAATGTGAGGATAGGTCATAGGTCACAAAGTTTTTCATCACCATCATAATTGATGGAATGTAATCTGGATTCCCAGGGGGGAGGGATGCATTCCAGAGAAGCAAGAAACAATTGTTCAAATAGTTTGTGTGAGAGAAAGAGGATGAAGATGGCTCCTCCCTAATATTTCCCAGAGTCTATGCTTTATGGAGGTGGTAGTTTTGCTTCAGTTTGGCAAGATTTTTCTGAGGGAAAAAAATTGCTTGGAAGAATTACAATGTGCTTTTCTTGGTTTTTGGAGCCTGATAATAATTGTTGATAAACAAGGATTATTTATACTTTATGGCTAATCTATAATAACAGAATAATGCAAGTCTGCTGTTACACCTCAGTGAGTCATGCAAGTCAGATTCTTACACCCCAGGAGAGGCCAGCCCAAGTCTATTCTTAATGCTATCTCTGTTTCCATTTGAAGGAAGCATTGAAGAATGCTTCAATTTTCTTTGTTTACAATATTTGCTTCAAGGTTACCTTTCTACAGACAGGTACGTCACATGAATTAGTTCTGTTATATTGCACTATTACTATTACATCCCTTATATTATTAAATACTTGTTATGGATGGTAGGATGATAATTAAGTGCTCTAAATGTTTTAACCTGTGTTGAAATAAATATGTAGGAGGAAAGTTTTATTCCAAATTTGAAATGAATGTGCAGTATTTCTCTGCATTTCAGATTTCATCACTGAAATAATTTCTAGAAATAATTTCTAAAATCAGATATTTGCATCAGTATGGTATCCTAATCTAAAATTCTTTATTCAAGTTATGGGTTAATTATATTCTAAATGTTTTATAATCCCCCTCAAAAATAATTTATTCTATCCCATTTTTGTAATTGTGATTTTGTGAATTGTTTATTTATTTATTTTTTATTTATTAGTTTGATTTATATGCTGCCCTTCTCTGGAGACTCAGGGCGGCTTACAATGCTTTTAAGCAATAGCCTTCATACTTTTGTATATACCTGCTTAGTAGGGCTTTTGCCCCCCCCCAAGCGGTGTTCTCTTTTATACAAAGTCAGCTTATTGCCCCCACAAACCGGGTCCTCATTTTATCGGAAGGATGGAAGACTGAGTCAACCTTGAGCCTGGTGAGAATTGAACTCACAGTAATTGCAGGCAGCTGGCAGCTAAATACTACTTTAACAGTAGTTTAGTCCACTGCACCACCAGGCTCGATGTTCAACATTTAGTCCATATCCTGAATATGCATTATGTATTCAATGTATGTATATTTCCTTCTACTATATAAATATTTAAATAAATATTTGCAAGCAACATCTATTCAAAATACTTTTTTCATATGTTTGGATGGTCAACTTTTTCCAGGACTGAGAACTTAACTCTTTTTCCCAGGCAATTGCGAGCAACATAAAATATCACTGGAAGGATGATAATTCCACCAGAAGGGACTGATTGTGTGAGGCTGTTTTTCTGGTTGAGAACTTTTAAAAAATGGGAAATATGAGCTCATGCATATACTTGGTAACCAAATGTGAGGGATAGAGTTCCCATCTTTCTTCATTACTGGTCACATTGGTTAGGTGACATTGGTTGGAATGGAATAAGAACCCATTTTTACTAGTCCTTACTATACACCCTTTATAGTCCTTACTATACTATACTATGGGATGTGGTGGCTCAGTGGCTAAGACGCTGAGCTTGTTGATCAGAAGGTTGGCAGCGGTTTGAATCCCTAGTGCTGCGTAACAGGGTGAACTCCTGTTACTTGTCCCAGCTTCTGCCAACCTAGCAGTTCGAAAGCACGTAAAAAATGCAAGTAGAAAAATGGGGACCACTTTGGTGGGAAGGTAATAATGATCCAGGCACCTTCGGCGTTTAGTCATGCCAGTCACATGACCACGGAGAACGTCTTCGGACAGCACTGGTTCTTCGGCTTAGAAACGGAGATGAGCCCCGCCCCCTAGAGCTGGAAACAACTAGCACACATATGCAGGGGGAACCTTTACCTTACTATGCACCATCAGGATAACAATGAAAAGATGAATTATTCCCCAGGCAAACAAAAACTTCTAGATAATGTAGGAAACAGGCTTGGAATTCCTGCCCATAATAATTGTCAATCTGTTTACTGGGATTGGGGTTGCAGGTGTGGGGTTGAATCTGTTGTGTTGGCTTCATTCATTAGCGCTGGATTTCAAGATAATTACTAGATCAATACAATACTTATACTTGCTACTATATCATTAGAGTCAATTAGGGTCAAAGTCAAATATAGTATTTCAAACCTACTTGAAAAAGTTCACAACTAGATAACTTACAACATTATAAAAGGCTGCAGCTCCTTTGTCAGCTCTGCTCTTCCTAAGGGGGCTTCCATGGCCAGTATAGGGGTGACTATGATCTGACCAATAACCATGAAAATCAAAGGTCATGACATTAAGGAAATCTGCAAATCTATAGAAAAATAAATAATAATTCAATAAACTTTTGGTAATGACTATATTTTTATTAGGTTTCTGTAAAGTTTCTGAAAAAAGCCATTATCTCACATTGAATTTCAGTAGGAATTCTAAATATAACAGACTTAACTTTTATTAATACAATTAGAGATGAGATCCATACATTTCTGGAATATGAATTTTAATTTAAACCTTAACACCATTCTGCTTAAAGAACTTTAAAGGAGAAGATTATGCAAGTGATGCAAATAAGTTGTTTATTCTCCTTGCACATGTCTTGAAATGGTTTTGAATCACTTACAGGTAGTCCTCGACTTACAACAGTTCATTTAGTGACCATTCAAAGTTACAATAGCACTGAAAAAAGTGACCTATGACCAGTTTTCACACAACCATTGCATGATCCCCATAGTTATGTGATCAAAATTTGGATGCTTGGCAACCAACTCATATTTATGACAGTTGCAGTGTCCTTGGGTCATATAATTACCTTTTGAGACCTTCTTACAGGTAAAGTCAATGGGCAAGCCAAATTCACTGAACAACTGTGTTACTAATTTAATAACTGCAGTGATTCACTTAACAACTGTGGCAAGAAAGATTGTAAAATGGGGCAAAATTCACTTAACAAATGTTTCACTTAACAACAGAAATTTTGTACTCAATTGTGGTGGTAAATTGAGGACTACCTGTATTTATTTTGCTTTTTTTTTCATTTATTTAAAAATGTCCTGTTTTCAGTGATAAAAGAAATTTATCAGAAGCTTTTAAACTAGGCAAGTATAAAAACATGATAACTTGGAAATGTTTATTTGGGTTAGCTCATGAATGTATGTTCATATCTGTATGTATTCTATGAGTCATGATAATAAGAGTACTTGCCTAGCAATATTCGGGATATCAAAGCCACTATCAATAGCTTCTTTTCCAGCTGGTACTGCCACACTCAATATGAGATTTTGCCTGTTTGGATTCTTCCGGGCCTCATAGCGGAATGCTACATTCAGGTCCTAAATGACATTAATTGAAATCATTATTGTGATTTAATAAATGGTAAAAAGATTTAACTTGCAAGTTCTTGAGTTATATACGGTAGAAAAGCAGCAAGAACCTGTAGTATTGCAAATATTTTCAGCTTTTTTTATTTACTACAATAGGCTGTGTTGTCCAATGTTAGGAACATCTCTGGATAATCTGCTCATTATATTTTTTAACCTTGTAAATGCAGGGTAAATACAAAGGAATTAGGTTTGGGACTGTCAGCAGGATTGTTTTGATATTCGCAGCACTATGCTCCAACCATGTGAGATTAGTTTGACAACTAATTTAGCCAAAGGCTGCCCTCACAACTGTCTGCAGAACCCTTTCCCATTGCATCAAAGCATGAATGAATCCTGGAGCTGCTGAACTTCACGGAAGAAGAAGCGGCTTAAAAATTGTTTTCTCCCTCCCCCCTTTTCCTTCATAATTCTTCTAGAAGTCTACAGAACATAAATTATTTGGAAGTCAGGGAATGATTACTTGAGCTCTAAAGAATTATAGGTGAGAGTAGAGGAAAGTATAATTGAAGTAAAATTTGGATTTCTTGGATATAATATCATGTAAAGACTGTCTACTAGAAAAGGAGTAGCACTTCAAAAAGTATGCAAATTGGAAATGATGAGCTTCTGAAGAAAACCTGTATCATTTGATTGAGCGGAAAAAAAGATACCAGAAAGTAGAGAGACAAATAATGGAGGACACTGGCCTCATAAGGATAATCAGTATATTTGAATAACTGAGGCAGTGCTTTGGTGGAATGAAATGATTGTACAAATCTCTAATATGCATAGAAAAAGGAAAGTCATATCCTTATACTATTTACAAAGAGATGATTTAATATATGTACCTGAACCAGCTTAACCAAATCCCTTTTATTATTCTGGCTTGGTCTGTGCCAAGCAACATCAATACCATCAAAATTATTCTTCCGAAGAAAGCTGATCACGGATGCTACAAATTCCGAGCGTGTGGCAGGAGAGGAATTTATGTTCTGGAAACTGTTATAAATGGGAGAGAGAGAGACAATCAGATTTTAAAAATAAAATTTTTAAAAGGAATATAATTGAATCATTTTAACCAGATGTGCAACATGCTTTCTAATATTGCAACTATTGAACTGAAATTTAAGTTGTCAGTTCCCTTTCACTATTACATCTCCAAACCATTCAAAGCTTCCAGAGTACCATTGGTATTAGTGGAAAGAGAATTTAAAAGCTGGACATCATCATCATTAAAAAGTGTAAAAGGACTTGAATTCTTAAAGATTCAGAATTCAATTTGATAGATAAGCACTTTGCTTGCCTATTAAATTCTGCAGAGATACAAAGGTCTATAACCTTCCCTCTCCTCTTTTCACTTTATGTCTAGCTTTATAAAGCTGTAGAATAGTGGTGATCTGCTACACAGCACAAAATGGCTTCAGTTCAGAATTACCCTTTGCAAATATCTCTCAAAGGTGCTTTTTAAAAAGTTAATTGGACTTTCTTCATTTTTTCTTGAAGACATTTCACTTTTCATTCAAGAAGCTTCATCAGTTATGACTGGAGGGGGGCATCTTTAAGGAAAAACAAAGAAAGCCCAGTTGCCTTTTGAAAAAGTACTTTGAGACAAGCATGACCTGGATGACTTAGAATCTTCATAGATGCACCCTTTGCAAACTATTCAATTTATGAATTGTAAAGTAAAACTCAATTTATGTCAGCCAGAAGCTTTCATTAGGCTGTGTGTGTGTGTTTTCGCAATTGCACTTCCAGCATATTTAGACACCACTTTGGGGAGGTTTTCTCTATATTTGTACAAGTGGAGACTAGGGGAGATGGGGAAGACAGATATAGGTTATGATTTTTCAAATGCAGCATTTAGCAGGAAAAAAATGTTAATTTTAAGGGATTAGCTCACTTTGAGGAGAAGCTAAATAATGACCAAACTATACCCTGAAGTACAAATATAGCTTAACATTGCATATGCACGTTTTTTTCAATGGCAGTTTTATTTATTTATTTATTTATTTGGTTAATTAAATTTCTATGCCGCCTGTTTCCCCTACAAGGTGACTCTGTCATAAGACCCCTGATCAGAGTTGGAATTGGTACCTCTTTCCTTTTGTGCTGCAGTTATCATGAAAATCTCATTTGAAATAACTCAATTAACAATTCAGTTACATCTGGTTTGGAAATCAAACAAACAAATAAACTGGCAGTTCTATACTTACGGTCTAGAGCCTAAATTAGCTCCACCAACAGACAGAAGAATCTTCAGTTTGGGATTCCTGAAAAAGTAAATGAAAATACTCAGTTATACTCAATATAATTGTCCATATTTTCATGTCTGATCCTTTTTCTAACTATTAAGTTCAACGTAAAAAATATTGGTATGCCTATAGTGCCAATGATCCTTTGGACAGCTGTCTGCTAGATAGCCTAGTCATTGCATCTGCAACACAAAGCACTGATTCTTCCATCATCTTTTCTTACAGATGCTCCTATACTCAACAAAGACCCCTTCAGCAGAAAAGAGAGCAGTAATTGTAATCTGTTGCTTTACTTGGCACTGCACATTTGTGTTAAAAAAAAGAAAAGAAACAGAAAAAAGAAAGATGCATATATTAGAATATCCCTGTAGGCATGAAGAGATGGAAAAAGAAAGAAACAAACTTGGTTGCCTGCTAGGGAATGTTCACCATGATAACCATTTTATGCAATCACCCAAAATATGCTTTCAAAATTCTAGATTCTGGCTTACAATGCCTACCTTTGATCTAAAATTATCTAACTGCTAGAAGCAAGTGAGGAATTTTATGAATAGTGTGGATAAATGAATGCTCATCCTGCCACACACTTCAGTGCAACTTATGCATCTTTAACATTATTCAAAGAAGAGAAACTGACATTGGTCAAGACATTCAGACACTCCTTAAAAGCATAATTATTACATCCCATTTTATATTTCTTATTATATCTCATTAAATTTTTGCTATTATTGTTAATAAAATATTAAATTGAAAAGTAACAGGAGGGAAGAATTAAGTAGAACATGTCTCTATATTCTTCCATTCTTCTTCATTCACAATTATTTCATCAGCCAATATAAATTTTTTTAGCTTCTGTAAGATAAAATTTGTGCCCCAAGCCCTTCTGACTTGCAAAAGTGTATTCATTGAAAACTTCCTTTCTTTCTACAAAAATCCTCCTAATCAATGTTACTGATTCTATTATCCTGTGAAATGTTAAGATGACTTTTGATGCAGAAGTTGTCAAGTGATTTGAAAAGTAAGAGGAGGTGCATAAAATGGAGCATTGCATTACAAATATTGAACATTTATTGCAATATTACAATAATATTTGTAGTTTGTGCTGTGGATATCATAGACATATCTATGAAAAATGCCATTCATTGTCCAGTAAATCACCCAGTGAATAGATTACTGGATGAAACGCCTAAATTCCCTCTTCCATTTTTAAACTAAATCCCAAGGGTAGATTTCCTGAGGGAACTCAAGTCATTGTGCCTTTGTAGATTGAAAAGTGTGATAGTCAAGACAACTTTTAAGTGATGGAAAGATAAGTAACAGGAGAAAAAGAATTACTCAGTAGTGGGATTCAAGTAATTTAACAACCGGTTCTCTGCCCTAATGATTTCTTCCAACAACCAGTTTGCCAAACTGCTCAGAAAGTTAACAACCGGTTCTTCCGAAGTGGTGCGAATCCCACCACTGGAATTACTGCTTGGCAGAGTCAAACAATTGAACCTGTTCATGGAAGAAGTCAATCTTTTTCCTTTACCATAATTCTTACAACACCTGTTTCTTTTCAAACAGTTATGGCATCAGGAAGGAAGTTTTTTCTTCCTGGTACAAATATCAGTGTGAAGAGAGGTTACATGAAGATCAAGGTAGAGGATTGTCTTCTTTTGCGAGTACTCTTGCCCTGATACTGATGGCTTCTCCCTGCAGCAGTTATTCTATCAGAAATGTTGATGTGAGGTTAAACCACAGATATCAAGTCTCTCAGTTTAAGTTTAAGAAGAGCCTCATGTCAACAAGTATCCTATGAATTGAGCATCCCTTCGGCGTTAGTAGCTGATGTGGATATTGGTATTTTTGGGTGCATTGGCTATTACACAATCTCCCATCTGTACTTACCTAGTTTTAAGTCCCCTGAGGTTGTTATAGGTAGTATCATCATTCCATTCGTACTTGGTGATTTGATTGCCTGATATATTAGCAAAAGCATAAATGATGTGGGTACAAAGATCTGGTTCAATGTCATCAGTGACAAAGCCCCCTGGGGCTTCCCTGTACTGAGACCAGCTGGTGAAGTAACAAACCAGGTTAATGGCAGAAACTGTTATAAAGAGGAAGAAAACAAAATAAGTTGTGTTAAACAAAAGGCATGAGTTATTCAGTCTAAAGTATGGAGACGTTGTCTACTTATTCTATCCTGCTTCTTCCAAATTTGCACTCTTGCCCTGAGTTGAATGTGCCAGAACTATCATTTGCTGGTTTAAGATAATTCCAAGTACATCACAAATATATGGTGAAATATTTTTTTTCTGTTAATCTTGTGCTTGTTATGAATTGTAAACAGGAACAAACAGTCATACAGGTAAGGTAAAGGTAAAGGTTATTGTCCAGTTGTTTCCACCTCTAGGGGGCAGTGCATTGGTTGAGATGGGAATAAACAATCAATCAAACAAACAAATAAGCAAACAAATAAATAAAAATGCAATCTCCTGCCAGTTTCCCTATCGTTCTTACTTGTAGGAAATGGCAAAGGTTGCAAATGGCAATTACACAATGCTGTAATGTCATAATTGTGAGCTGAACATAAGTATGATGACTAGTCATAAATACCATTCATTCAGGTACTGTTAAGCAACCATTTTGATGTTAAGCAAGGACCACCTATATTCCTGGGTACTGATTTAATAGCTATGCCAGGCAGTACAATATGTCTCAATGAGACACAAAGTGCAGCAAAAGTGATGCTATTCAATTTTGGGGGGAGCAGAAATGACATAATTTGCTTTGTTGAGTTATTTCACATTGTTCCAGTTGCGTCCTTTGGCAGACCCAGAAGAGACAACATTGGCTCTTCAGCAGTCATCTGCTAAGCTTATGCTTGCTGTCATCTGCAAGTGGAGTGATATCAAATGAAGTGAAGAGTTACTTCATCTTCCTCTTTAGAATTAGGAGTTTTATTTCACCAGCTTTTCAAGAAGTATCTCACATGAAACATTGTTCAGACAAAAGCGCTCTTAAAGTGGGTCTCAAATTATTGGTTTGGCTGTGCTGTTTAGCAGCCAAAGTTCCATTAAGATATTCCAGTTGTGCTTTTTCCTTCCTTCATTATGTATAAACAGGGAAAGTAATAGTTTCTCAAATACAGAATACAGCTCATCAGTCTGGAACCCATATTGCATATAAGACATTAATATAATTGAGTGAGTCCAGAGATATTTCACAAGAGGAGTCCTCCACTCCTCTGCTCACAACAGAATACCTTATACCATCAGGTTTGAAATTTTGGGCTTAGATAATTTCGGTCTGACCTAAGCATAGTACACAAAATTATCTGCTACAATGTCCTACCTGTCAATGACTACTTCAGCTTCAACCGTAACAATACACGAGCACAGCACACAATAGATACAAACTTAAGGTAAACCGTTCCATACTCGATTGCAGAAAATATGACTTCAGCAACAGAGTGGTCAATGCCTGGGAATGCACTACCTGACTCTGTGGTTTCATCCCCAAACCCCCATAATTTTAACCTTAGACTGTCTACTGTTGATCTCACCCCATTCCTAAGAGGTCTGTAAGGGGTATGCATAAGCACACCAACATGCTTACTATCCCTGTCCTACTATCCCCATTTATTCATATCTATTTCCTGTATTCATAATCACGTTTATACTTATATCTGTTATCTTATTCATGCTTGCCAAATAAAATAAAAAAATAAATAAACTTTCTCATTCAAATAAAGCTTAAAAAAAGACATTTTAAATTTAGAACGACTTGAAATGCCTCCCCCTGTCCCCACCCATGCAGGAAATAGTGACATACCATTTTGAAGAAATATCAGCGTAGCAATGCCTAATACAAAACAAAGCCAAGAGAAGAAAATTAAATTCTAGCAAAGCTAAAACAATGACCATAATACTTAGTTCACACCCTTCTGTGGTCAAAGGGAAGTTCTTCAATTAATACAAGTATTTGAAATTAATTAGATAATAACATATATCAGGCTTCCTAAACTGGACAGCGTCATGGGATTTCCCCCCACCCAGACAACAAATTTTCTTTCATCAACTTTGAAGTATATCATTATCAATGTTCAAAAGATTATTTCATCTAATCCATGTCATGAGCAGAAAACTGTAGTGTCATCTGAACTGTCAGTACAAATCATGGAAATTCTGCATATAAGATCATAACTTAACATTAAAGAACAAGATTAGAGACTTACCAATCCATATTGACAGTTGAGCCATCCTGGTTCCCAGTGTGCAACTGAACCACAATAGAAACGTTGCTTCTTTACAAAATGATACCTATATTGTGGCCCTCCTCTTATTTATAGTCACTTAACAGGCTTGTAGTGTCTTTTAGGAGGAATTGTTTCTCTGTTCCAGGAATGATTGTTGTGCAATTGATGTTATGTTGCAAGCGCTGCAATGAAATCAGGATTCCTTTATTTTTCTTTACGTCTGTCTAAATGGAAAAAACAGCAGAACAAGTTTTAAGGCTTCACATCTCTTCCAGTTCTAAATCCATGAAAATATCATACGTGATTCCTTTTTATTTAATGATTTAAAAAAAATATTTTTCATCCCGTAAGTAAAACTCATAAAAATAGCAGATACAATTAAGCTTGAGTGAAAACGCTTGGCTGAAGAGCCTGACTGTGGAGAGCATTCTGTCCTGTGGAGAACATTCCACAGAATACAGATAAGCTCCTTTTCTGTGTGAACAACAAATCACTCTTAAAAAATGAAAGGCACATTTAATAAGACTTCTCCTGATGACTTTCGCTTTCAGAAAAGTTCAGATGAACAATCTCTCACATAGGGTGGTCCTTGACTTGCAACCATTCATTTAGTGACTGTTCGAAGTTGCAACGGCACTGAAAATGTGACTTATGACCATTTTTCACGCTTATGATTTTTGTAGCACCCTCATGATCACACATGACCAAAATTCAGGCACTTGTCAACTGGCATGTACTGTATTTATAATGGTTGCAGTGTCCTGGCTGGTGTGATTACCTGTTGTGGTCTTCTCACAAGCAAAGTCATTGAGGAAGCCATTCACTTAAGAACCATGTACTAACAACTGCAGTGATTCACTGAACAACTGTGGGAAGAAAGGTTGTAATATGGGGCAAAACTCACTTAACAACTGCCTTGTTTAGCAAAAGAAATTTTGGGCTCAATTGTGCTTATAAGTCAAGGATCATTTATCAGGTTTAAAGATTAAAAACCAACTCCTTAGATTATGCTCAGACAATACTGTAAGGGATAACCAATTTAGTCTTTAAGACTCATAATTAGTCAATGTTGGAGTGGGGAAATATTAACCAGGTTTCATATATCCTGTGCTATTCCCAAAATGCATATTTTTAATTTAATTTAATTTAATTAATTCAATTTATATGCCGCCCCTCTCCGACAACTCATGTATCTGTGTAGAGCTGCATGAATGAAAACATGACTGGAACCCCTGACCATGTGGAATGAGAACTGTGTGATTATGTGGAAGCTTTTATACAGTAATTGTAGGTAAAAAAGCAGGTCTAATGAGAAGAATAGCTGAACACTCAGCAACAAATCCTGGCAAGAGAACAGAACTATGAGCCAAGACTTTGGTAACAGCCTGATGGAAAAAATCAAGAGAGGAAAAAGCTTTGCCCTATGCTCTGATGGCTGTTCTCTCGATGTTTCTTTATGACTTTGAAAAACATTAGGTTTTAGCTTTAACTCTGAGTTTTATTAAGTCTTAATATCTGACCACCTCTTTGAAGCTCATATTTCCCCTCTCTAAGTTGATCAGTTTTGTGTCAAATTCTTGCTCACTTTACATCACACCCCATTCCACTGCAGCTCTCAGTCGCTTCTTCCACAAATGAGTAAGTGTGCTACAAAGATAAGAATGGGTGCCTACTTCTGACATAGAGGAAAGTAAAGTCTTCCCATCATCTTGCAAATTGCTCATGCTTCTAGATCTAGACACAAAACCTCAGCACCAATAAGCAACTTTTATGTAGTTAATTCATGGGTAGATTCCAAAAGTCTGGGTCTATATGTATTGGATGTGTGTGGGGCAGGGGTGGGTTCTAAATTTTTTTATTACCGGTTCTGTGGGCGTGGCTTAATTTGTGGGTGTGGCTTGATGGTCATGTGACAATTCTTTAGTATTTAGCAGAGGTACTGTTCTACCAGGCTTTTAGTTGCTTGCAGAGCTGTACCGGTCTACTCATTTGTTTTTGCAGGCACCGATCTACTCATTTGTTTTTGGAGGCACTGGTCTACCTATTTATTTTTGCAGGCACCGGTCTACTCATTTGTTTTTTCTAAATTTTTTTATTATTATTATTATTTTTCATTTGTTTTTGGAGGCACTGGTCTACCTATTTATTTTTGCAGACACTGGTCTACTCATTTGTTTTTGCAGGCACCGGTCTACTCATTTGTTTTTGGAGGCACCGGTCTACCACCACACTGCCTTTTAACACTGATCAGCTGTAGGGCGGCCGTTTGAAGCCCCACGGCAAGAGTTTAAACAGTTTTTTTCTTTCTAGCCGATCAGCTGGGACTCAGGAGGCAGCAATAGATTGTGGGTGGGGCCAAATAAAAGGTAAGAATAACGCGGGAGGGGAGGGGGGAGGGGGGGCAGAACCGGTTCGGTGAGGTCATATTGTCACTGCTACTGGCTCGGCAGAACCGGGCCAAACTGGGAGGAACCCACCACTGTTGTGCGGGCTCTATTTAGATGTTGCCGGATCAATTGTACAGCAAACTGTATGTCAGAAACCAGAGCCTGATGACTCAGGAGCAGACAAAAGAAATTGGAGAGGAGAGTCATTCTGACCTTCCTTAAGTAATCTACTGTGTTTAAGTAGAGTGGAGTGGAGGATACTGCTATTGGAGAAAGATTAAGTAGCTGGTCCTTTAATGTCTATATGTGGAACAAATCTTGTCATCTTCTCTTTTGCTTGTGGAAACAACACAAGTAGAGAAACTGAAAAAAACAAGTGAAGTCATGTGGAAAAGTAAATCAGAAATGGGCCAGTCACCTACAGAAACACTAAAGTACTTGGATTCATTAGTTGCTTTTCATCAACAACTGGCTACAGATGCAGGACAACTTCTGAAAACTTCTATAAGGATTTTAAACTGAGGGAGCACTTTTCCTGGTCCAGCATAATGATAGTTTGGTATTTTTTCAGCAAATGATTATCTGAAATCATTTTCAGCAAATGATTATCAGGTCTCTGAATAACCAGACAAAGCGACACCAGCCCAGCCCAGCCCAGCCCAGCCCAGCCCTGTATTTGTTTTACAGCCCAGCCTGTAATTATTTGTTTTTTAAAAATTGTATGCTACTTTAATTAAAAATGCTAAGCAACTTACACCTAATGCAATAAAACAACCACAACAGATCAATAGCCAGTAATCATGAAACTAGCAAATTAACCATTAGCATAATGCAATGAGATCGTCATATGTGTGAAGACAGGACTAGATATATTTAGTTAAAGGACATTAATGCAAAAAAGGATCAGATTATATTTATTGTTAGCTTCTAATTTTGGAATGATGGTTAATTGCTTAGTACTTTTCTAACAAAGGAAACTGTATTGAATGAGCATTTTTTATATGAACATGTACCTATCACATAATTATTAAAGAAAAATATGTTACTTTTTTTCTATTCCTTTTTAAAAATTACATGGTTGGAAAAATTGATCTAAAAATGAAATGTCACTAATTATCAATGGGTTTCTTCTATTACCAATATCTATGATGAAGTCTTATACAATCAAAACAGTATGTCACTGTTTTGAGGCAGCTTTCATTAATTTTGTGTTCTCCAGGTATGTTGGATGACAACAAACTCCATCATTTGCCAGCTCTCACAGGTTTTGTATGGCCTTTTCAACTGCATTCATATGCAGTGGAATCAAATATACAGTATATAGAATTAAATGTTTTTGCCATGATAGAAAATATGATGGGTTTACCATTAGCAATGAATGAAGCTAAGAGTATGATTGATAGCTAGGCTGCTCTTGCTTTTTCTTACTAAAGCTTCAATTGATCAAAGCCACAATGACCAACAGTACGGGCCTATGTAGTGAGGACTTGGGTTATGAAAAATTGAGAGTTGGGAAATTAAAGGAATAAACTGTAAACAGAACAGATTCAGGAAATAAAAAAAACAATAGATATAATATTCTGGTTTAATTTAAGAGAAAGAAGAAAGTTATATCAAGATCTGAATGGAGATAGTTGAAAGGCAGGCAAGGAGGGAGGAAGGAAGAAATGGAGGAAAGAAAGAAGGTAGAAGAAGGAAAAAAGGATGTATCTGAAGTCTCATTCTGGGAGTTGATGTCCACACATCTTCAAGTTGCTGACATCTACACCTTTAAAAATGCATTTATTCATTAAATTTATATTAAGAAATGTATGCAGAAAAATTCCAGATGTGGTGAACTTTGAATGGGTTATAAGTATGAAGTTGTCAATTTTTGGTTTCAATCAAGACAATGTTTCCTTATGACTGTTTCTCCGTTTGCCCACAATTTCCTTATTACTGGCTTCTGGTTTTTCTTTTGTCTTTTTCAGTTTCACCATCATTTCTTAACTTCCTTATGATACAGTTGGTGTGCTTCTGGAGATGTTGCCCTGCTTCATTCCCTGAATTTTTCTCACCAGTTCTTTCTGCACCTAAAGGGAGGCAGAAATAATTCATTTTCTGAATGTAGCACAAGAGGTGCCATGTTTGGAAGTACCCTGGGAAATAGGGAGAACTGCAATATGTTTAAATGCAGTCAAATTCTGAAGACCAACTCAAATTTTGAAGAAAAGGCAGAAAAGTACCAATCTATAAGAACAAGATCAAGAAAATGGTTTTGACCAGTACATCTGGAGTAGCCTGTGAGGATTTGCCAGAAAATAACAAACTCACATATTAGTGTTTGTCTTTGTCAAGATTTGCCACCTCCTGTGTGTGTGTGTGTGCACGCACATGCATGTATACATGGAGGGGATGCATTGAAGAGAATGGATTTTGCTCACATGAATTTAGAAATCTCTGTTCATTATGTATACGTGTTAAAAACTAACAGTTAAATAATACATTAATTTCAGAAATAAGACCATATGATTAATTTAGCCAATTTTCATTTCCTTTCTTCCTTTTAAAATCTTTTTTATGAGGTACCCCCAGGGGTGAAATCCAGCAGATTCTGAAGGTTCTGGAGAGCCAGTAGCGGAAATTTTGAGCAGTTCAGAGAACCGGCAAATACCACCTCTGGCTGGCCCCAGAATGGGGTGGGAATGGAGATTTTGCAGTATCCTTCCCCTGCCACACCCACCAAGCCACACCCACAGAACCGGTAGTAAAAAAATTTGGATTTCACCACTGAGTACCCCCATCTTTTGCAGGGCAGCTTCTACTGTAATTTTTTTTTTAAAAAAGATTTTTTTAATGCTGTGAACTTAGTTCACAAACCTAGTTTGGTTTTTTTTTTTTTTTAGAAAATTATAGGCAGAACAGTTGCAGAAATTGCTTCAATGCATACCGTAATATTTTTGATTCCATAAATTCCAGGATGAGAGCAACAATAATCAAATACTACTCATGGATTGTTTATTGACAGGGCATAAAAGCTGTAGTCATTTTTTTTAA